CACACACACACACTACACTACTACTACACACACACACACACACACACACACACACACACACACACACACACACACACACACACACACACACACAACGCACGCGCACGTGCGGGTTCACCCCGCCAGTGGGCGAGATTCCGCTGACGGTGACGGAGGAGCAATTGCGTCATCTGCAGACGCTCCTCCAGGCGTTTTCCGTCCACGCCGCTGTCCGCCAGCGCCGCCGCCGCCTCTTCAGAAGGTGAAACACGCCACCTGCTATCCTTACTGGCGGAGTATGTGTGTGTGCGTGTGCGTGTGTGTGTGCGTGCGTGTCTTTCAGGTGTTCCCCCTCCACTCACATACCCACTCAACACACACACCCTACTCTCCGTGTGCGTGCAGGGTTGCGTGGTGCCGGCCGCTGCTGCGCATTCGGGATTTGCCGCCGGAAGCGCCGCACGAACAGCGCACGGAGCTCATCCGCGCGTGGTGGCGATACGGCTGCGAGGTGAGGCGTCCACCAGCATTTGAGTCTCTGGTCCCCGCGATGACTTTGTGTGTGTGTGCGTGCGTGTGTGCGTGCGTGCGTGCGTGCGTGCGTGCGTGCGTGTGTGTGTGTGTGCGTGCGTGTGTGTGTTTGTGCGTGTCTCCACACACAAGCACACAGAACGAATGACTCATGACATTTGTTTCCTTTGTGGATGCGTTGTTGTCGGATTACAAACACACATGCACATAAACGCACACACACACACACACACACAAACACACACACACATGAACACAAACACAACCACACACACACTTCAGGCCCTGAAAGTGATTGCTGTTCACCCTGGCGGCAACGGCACCACGCTGCGCATCGATCCAGCGTACTTACAGCGCAGGTACGGATGCATGCATGCATGCACGCACGATTACTGCCACGATGCACGACCAAAATGCACATAGACTGCCCCATACATGCACTTGTACACATGCAACCCCCCCCCTTCTTCACACAAGCACGGCTGTGTTTGTTTTCGCTTGTCTTTCTTACTTTGATATCCTCAGGCAGCAGCAGAGGAACGAATACGTGCAGTTGTGGATTCGGTCGCTCACCACACACCCAACCAAGGCCGCCGATCAGAACAGGGTTAGATGCTTTGCCTGCAAGCAAACAAGCAAAGGAAAGCTCTCTGCTTGGTTCATGTCCCCATAGTCGTGCCTGTTTCAGCGGGTACGCTGTTGCACGCCGTCACACACATACACACACACACATATTCACACACACACACACATTCACACACATTCACACACACACACACATACACACTCTCTCATGCATGTTGTCATTTTGTCCTCATTTAACCTGCGCCTGTGGGGTTCACAACCATTCACAACCCCCCCCCCCTTTCTTCTGAACACACGTGTTCCATCCACCCCCTCCCCTTCGCCTCCGCCACCGCCATCGCCACCATGATTGTGGTTCGCGCGTCAGCTTGATGACCTGGAGCGCGAACTGACGCTGGACGACATCATCAACTACCGCTCACGCGCGAAGCTCTGGGTACGAAGCAGAGGAGCACTTGCAAATATCCAATGCGCACCAGTTTGATGATTCCTCTTCTCGTTGTTCGCACAAACAACACACAACAAATGACACTCACTTACACACACACACACACACACACACACACACACACACACACACACAAAACGCACACATTGGGTTGCAGATTGCGAAAGATGCAAGTCTGACGTCTGCGATGAAGCGTAGTCGACGGGCAAAAGCAAATCAACAACAGGGCGGAACCACGTGGTGCGTGCGAGGGTTTTTGTTTTTGTGTTTGGGTTGCATCATGTTGTCTGCCTTTACTGCTGTATTTGCTGGCGTTTTTATTCGCTCACCTCTGTTCCAGCGCTCTCGCTTGTGTTGTGATAACTTGCCGGTTTGCTCATCACCTTGGGCGGGCCACTATCCGTACCTCTCGCCTCACTCCACACCATCCATCACGCAACGCGACGTCAACACCACAGGTACTCGTGGTTCTTTGGCGCATCTGCTGCCACACCAGGCGAGGTGGACACGGCGCAGCCAGAGCAGGCAGACGACGACACAGCCTTGCTTGGTGAGGCAACGGCTGACGTACTTGTTTCGCTCAACACACCAGAGCTGACGGCGTTCTTGTCCGTTACCACATGCTTACGACACATTCACCCAGCACATCTGCACAGACACACATACAGACACACAAACATACAGATACAGACATACAGACATACAGACATACACACACACATACAGACATCCAGACACACATGCAGACATCCAGACACACATACAGGCACACACACACACACACATACAGACGCACACATGTACACCCGCCCCAACCTCGTTAACATCGTCCTCCCCTCACAATAACTCGTGCAGACTCCATCTCGGAATCGCAGCGGCAGGCGTTCCTGTCTGCACTGCAAGAGCTGGAGAACCCGAACCTGACAGCATCAACACAGGACATCGACCCGACACACGCGTTTCTGCGCGTCACGTTCAAACTTGATCGCGGCTGCCTCACACTCTGCACCTCCCCCACTGCACAGCAGCAGACACAGGCACAGAAACAGAAACAAACACAGAAACAAACACAGAACCAGCACGAGGGCGTGGCTGCTGACCATGATGATGATGACGGTGATGATGATGATGATGAGGAGGATGAAGTGAGTGGTGCCAACGGCCACCCTCATCACCCCGGTGCTGTAGCAGAGTTGGAGTTTGTGCATCTGACGTGTGGGTTTGAAACGCGTCCTGCGATTGACGGCGTTTCATTTGAGATTCAGCTGCAAGCCATGAACCTCTATGATGCCCGTGTCCCGCGCGGATCGACACGACCCATCATCTGCCAGAAGGACGTGGCATCCTCAGCGTTGCAACACGACGGCAGCGGTGTTGCTGAGACTGGCACACCAACCACGGGCACAGCAAGTGCAGCTGGCGATGAAGGCAACTGCGAGCAGTCTCCCACCAATCAGGCAGCAACCTACGCTGCAGCAACAGCCACAGAACCAACGACGACAACAACAGCAGCGGCGGCGGCAGGAACATCAACAACGCTGCCATCGTCACCCGTGCTGCATCTTCGCGTGGACACGCAGGCGGTTGAAGGGCGGACGGCAACGCACGTAAAGGCACGCACGCTGCCACTACAGGTGTATGCGGACGCAGGGTGGCTGCAGGCGGCGCTGAATGTGGTGGCGCCCATGATGCAAGACACGGGCAAGGAGGAGGACGAGGAGAAGAACGACAACAACAGCACCCTGGCATGGCTGTCGGATACACAGGCAACGGCAGCAGCGCCAGCCCTGACGCTGGACGTCAACATCTCTGCGCCCGTCGTCGTTGTTCCCAACGGAAAAGGAGAGGTGCTTGTGCTCAACTTTGGACTGCTCAAGGCCAACACAACCTCTGCACTGCAGGGCCTGCTGCACCTGAGCACAGCGGCAGCGGCAGCCACAGCTGATGGCACCGCCACCTTAGCGGCAGACGCGGAAGGCCATGCCGCAACCCATGCTCTCGCGTTGGCATCAGGCGCGTTGGCCCACCCATCATCCTTGGTGAAGCGCACACGCACGACATCGCAGTCTTCCGACAGTTTCATCACGCCGCCGTCGAGCCCGTCTGCGTCGCGCGCCAGCCTTGGCAGCAAGGCAGCCGTCGCAGACACTCACTCCGCTGACGATGACAGTGATTGTGATGACGATGATGGTGACGATGATGAGGATGGCCAGCATGATGATGATGCAACCAAGAAGAAGACGACGAGGAAGAAGAACAAACATGCAGGGCGTGGGGGTGCTGTGAGCCCTTCTTCGCTTGTGATGCGCAACCGATTTGGTGGTGTACATGCTCACGACAGCGAGCGGGAAGGAGCCCATGATGCCAGCGCCAGCGACAGCGAACGTGATGATGAAGGCGGTGGTGCCGGTGGCGGCGGCAATACGGCTGCTCGGGGAAAGAAGACACGCGGGCACAAGGAGGGCGCTGAGAGCAACAACACCGACGAAGCGTCCAAGGCGCTTCAAGAACAGCACGAAATTCGCCTGGAGGACGTGCAGGTGCTGGCATGTGCAGAGAAGGAGTGGCAGCAGCTACTGGCACAGGGGTTCACAGAGCGCCATATTGTTCGCTCCTTCTCCATCAACTGCACGCTTGACCGCCACACACCGCCGGATGGCGCGCAGATGATTGAGTTTTCGAGTGAGCTGGAGGAAATGGCATTTGTCCTGGACGAGTGGGGGCTGCGCACCGTTCTGTCATGCGTGCAGGCAATGAGCGACGCGACGGCATGCTTGCAAGCACCCGGCATGGCGCCGCCCACGTCGCCGCCCGACAAGAACAGGCCGGCGTCAATGAGGACCAGTGCAGACAATGGCATGCGCAGCGCGAGAGCAAGCATCATCAGCCCTACATCCTCAACGACGGCACAAAACGGTGCCCGTGGCGGCGGTATTGGTGGCGTCTTGGACGAGACCATGAGTGCAGCGGAGGCGATGGTTGGTTCTGTGGAACCGATTGAGAGCCACGACGACATGGTGGTGCGCGAGCGCTCGGTAACGGCGCGCATTCCGCTGGACACGCGGCTTGTTGTGGCGCGGTTCACGCTCAACCGCAGCACGTTTGAATTGCGCGGCACGCGGCGGCGGCGACTGCTTGCTGCGGAGCTGAACAGCGTGCGCGTCGACTACACGAAGCGGCCATATGACGACCACCTCACGCTCTCTGTGCAGTCGTTTCTGCTTGAGGACCCGATGCAGCCCGTGGACTCAGAGTACCGGCAGCTTGTTGCCATGAAGTCGTCAAACACGCCCGCACCGCAACGCGCCGATGATGGCGACCGCGATGGTGCCGCTGGTGGTGGTGCTGGAGTCGCCCATGATGCCGACGATGATGACGTGACCGTCACGGGCGATAATGCACAGCCTGCCGACAGCGCCCGAGCTGCTGACCCGAGCAACACGAAGAGCACAAACACGACCAACAACAACACCACTGACGACAATTTGGACGGCGGTGAGGGCGGACCGACGACCAGTGAGGAGGACCAGCCGCCATTCGTCAAGATCACATACATCAACCTCCGTGACGTGCCCCTTGGGTACCAAGTCGACAGGTGCGCTGTGAACGCGTGTGCGAAAGTGTGCGCCTGAATGTGAATGTGAATGTGAATGTGAATGTGAATGTGAATGTGAATGTGAATGTGAATGTGAATGTGAATGTGAATGTGGATGTGAATGTGAATGTGAATGTGCACCTGAGTGTAAGTGTGGGTGAATGTGAATGTGCGCAAGTGAGTATGTGAGTGTGCGTGTGAGCGTACGCGTAAACGTGTGCATGTGTGGATATGTGTACGTTGCCCGCTTGCGCCCATGCCTGGACATGAGCACCTGCATGCTGCATTACTTCTTTTCACCCAGCCTTTGTCTGCCTGCAAAACCAATGCCCTCACCACCACCCCACTTTCTGTCCCTGCCCAACAACACCGCCACAGGTACCACGGGCTGAAGACGCAGCATCGGCAGTTTCCGCTTGGCTTTTCGCTCGCCAGCAGCAGCGAAGTGGACACGCGCGTGCCGCCACACATTGTGGAGGTGTCGCTTGGCGACGTGTGCATTGTCTTCAATCGGGAGGTTGTTGCCGCCTTGTTGGACTTTGGAACGGCTGCGTTGTCTGTCGTTGCTGGCGCAGACACGCCAACAGCACAACACCAGGGCGCCAGCCACCACACCTCGGCTTCGTCTGCCACGCCCTTTGCAGCATCATCATCATTATCATCTCCGTCGCCATTGCACGGCCACGAGGCATCAGATGGCATCGCCGCCACCACCACCAACGGAACAGCAGCAGCAGGTACCAACGTGGGTGACATGCGCAGTCACGACAGCGCTGCTTCATCGCCTTTGACCGGCTCGACAGCACCCCAGCCACCAGCAACAGAGGAGACGCTTTCTCCCGACCATGCAGCAACCACACGAAAGCACCAAGAACAGCCACAGCAACAACAAGAACAGCAACAGCAGCAGCAGCGTGATTCGGTGGTCCGAGATGCAAAGCCACAGCGCCACGGGCGGCGTAAGGTGAAGATCACAGCCTCCATGTCGCTGCTTGACGTCCTCCTCGTCGGAAACGGCGACAAGCTTGCACGCGCCAGCCTGCGGGACACATGTGTGCGCATGGACGCGCTGCCTTCCTTCACGCGCGTGTGCGGGCGGCTGGGGAGCCTGTCGCTGCGTGATCTGACGCCATGCGGGTTTCTGTACCGCGATGTGTTCTCAACCACGGGCACGGAGGTGCTCAGCTTTGAGCTGACGACGGGGTGGCTCGAGAACGCGCGTGATATTTTGCTGTTGGACGACGAGAGCAAAGAGTGTGCGGCCCGCAGCGACTGTCCCGACCTGCACTACACGACTGCGCTGAGCGTGCGCATGGCCTCTGTGCGGTACGTGCACACGCGCCGCTTCATGACCATCATGCAGAATTACGTGACGCAATTCCAGTCACCGCAGGTTGTCGCACGCGTGCAGACGGCGGCGAAGGAGATTGTGGACGAAATCAAGCAGCGCTACACGGAAGAGATTCTTCGTCTGGATGTGCAAGTGGACACACCGGTCGTCGTTGTGCCCCGCAACTCGTTCTCACCGCACGTGGTGGAGGCGTACTTGGGGAAGACGCGCGTGTCACACGGCATGCGGCTGCGCGCCCCCGGCCACGCCATCAAGGACGGCACGACACCGGCCAGTGGCGATGGCGGCAGCTACTACGAGGGGTTCGCGCTCGTCGACTGCCTTGTGCTTGATGTGCGCGACGTGCGACTGCTGTCTGCGACCGTCATGTCTGAACTGGAGGCGGAGGCCCACCGCACGTTTGCCAACCCGCTGTGCAGCAGCAACCTAGACGACAGCGATGACGCGTCTTCCTCGTGCTCCTCCATGGATGACCTGGTTGCCTTCGCCAGCAGGGAACACCTGGAACATGACGCAAGCGTGAGCGCAGCCACGCCCGGCTTTCGTCACGTGCACACGAGCACGCACCCGGAGATGCTGTCCCACTGCAACATGCACATTCTGTTTGAGCGGAATCTGACGCCGGAACGCCGCGACCTGCCAATGGTGCGCGTGGAGGTGGGCGTGTCCGATGTGCACGCGCGCGCAGACAACCACCAGTTTGACCTTGTGCTGAGCATTCTGGATGAGAACCTTGGCTGTGAGACGGAATTGTTGGCGACACAGGACCTGGTTGAGCTGCAAACGACCCTGAACAGCCGCGACAACCGCCGCAGGTCCGTTCTCAGCGCAGCAGAAGCAGAGGCGGCAGCAGCAGCAGCAGCACAAACGCATGCAGCAGCACCGGCATATGGTGGTCGTGGTGATGACGGCCGTGGCAGTGGTGGTGGTGGTGGTGGTGGTGGTTTGGATGATGGCGATGGAGGGAGGAATGACGCCTTCTTCACACCGGCGCAGTCGCGCATGCAGTCGCGCATGCAGCCGCTGTCTCAGCGAGCCAGGATCGGGGGACGCGTGTCACGAAACCCGTCCGATGGTGGCGGTGGAGATGATGTGAGCGGTGTGCAGCGTGATCTCGATGAAGCGCTCAGCACGCGACTGGAGACGGAGTGGCACTTCCTGCCAGGGGTGCCAACAGGTCCCGTGCCAGCAGACACACGCGCACAGCGGCGTGATGCTGCTGGGCGTCACCTGCGCACCCGCTGGCGGTACATTGACATGGAGAACAGGACCGAGAGTCCGCCAAACGAAATGGACGACGATGACGAAGAAGCGAACCTTCGTGCCGAGTATGGCTCCTCGTTGCAGGTCCTGCACACGCGCCCAGAGGACATGAGCAGCAGCGTTGGACTGGCGGCTGACGTGTCGTCACCATCACTCTCGTCATCCGCAGGGACAGCAGTGGAACGGAGAGCGGGCGGCACGGCGATGGCACGATCGATGTCCACCGCAAGCGCCACAGCACTCGACCAGTGGGTTGGGCTGGAGTTTGAACTGAAGCTGGAGAATGTGCACTTGAAGTTGATTGACAGGCGCCACGCTGCGGACGAGAAACGACCCCACGAAGAGCCTCTCGCTCACCTGCACCTGCTGCAATCCGCACTCTCATTCACGGCCTACACCAACGGTACGCTTGACGACTTGGGCGCGACTGTCCGTCTCTACTCCACGGCCATCGCTGTGGACAACATGCTGCCCGACCGCGGTGGGAAGCGAAACTTGTACAGGCGCGTGCTGGCCCCAATGCCAGACGCCAATGAGCATGGTGGTGTTGGTGTTGGTGTTGGTGTTGGTGTTGGTGTTGGTGGTGGTGCCATGCGCAAGGCTGCAAAGGGCGTGGGCAAGAAGACGTCTGTTGTGGGTGGTGCAACTGCAGCCGACATTGCACTTGGTGAGAGTGGTGACGATGACGATGATGGGATGACGCTGATGGGCGGCGGGATTGGCGGTGGTGCAGCAAGCACTTCAGGGGCGCCGCAGTTGGAGGTGACGTTCACGATGAAGCCCCAGGCAGACCGCGTGCACGTGTTGCTGAGTCGCACGCGCGTGCTCATCTCGCCAGAGTGGGCGGTGCGCATCGCAGACTTTGCGACGAGCCGCCCCGACAGTGGGCTGAAGAAGCTGTACAACCAGCGCAAGCCGTTCCTGCAGGAGGAATACATGGACATCAAAGCGCCGCCACGCGAGACGCCAACACACACGCGGCTGACACTCAACATCACCAACCCGGAGCTGATCATTGTGGACGACGTGACGTTGCGCACCTCGGAAGCGCTGGTGATGAAGATGTGCAACGTGACGAAACTGCGCATGAACGACTACCCCGAGAGAGCAGCCGTCGAGGCCACACCAACCGTGCCCGTACCTGTTGAGGATCAATCCCTCGAACTGCACATTGAGGTGCGGCGTGTGCGTGTATGTGTGAGTGACTATGTGTGCGAGTTTGTTGCATTGTGCATGTGTGTGTGTGTGTGTGTGCCATACTTGCATTTTCAGACGCTCTGCGTGTGCCACACTTCCGTGACAACCACCTACATTTGCCCCCCTTCCCCCCTGTATTCATCTGTGTGTTAACAACACCCCACAGGATTTTGAGATCTTCACGTGTCGCATGGACAACCAGGCGCGCACACAGCTGTCCATTGTTGACCCGTGTGGCGTGTCCATCGAAGCCAACCGTTCCGTTGAGCGCACGACGGGCGAGAGGAAGATGGCAAACAGCACGGCTGCCATTGCGTTTCACGGTCCGCAGGCCACAAACAAGGACCACGGCGTGGCAGCCCGCATCTCCTACAACGACCTTGTTCTCGTGATGTCGATTGTCAAGCGCTTTGGCGATTGGATGGCCGAGCATCAGCAGCAACAGCATCAGGCAGAGATGGACGCTCACGGGGTGTGTCTCATTTTGGCTGCTTGTTTACATAATTTGTGTTCGCGTCTTGGAAACCGCTTCGTTTGTTGTTGTTGTTTAAGTTGTTGTTGTTTAAGTTGTTGTTGTTTAAGTTGTTTAAGTTGTTTAAGTTGTTGTTGTTTAAGTTGTTTAAGATGTTGTTGTTTAAGTTGTTGTTGTTTAAGTTGTTGTTGTTGTTGTTGTTGTTGTTGTTGTTGTTGTTGTTGTTGTTGTTGTTGTTGTTGTTGTTGTTGTTGTTGTTGTTGTTGTTGTTCTCATCATACTTGACCATGCTCGCCTCACCACCACCACTACCACCACCAACAGCGCACGAGGCGAGACAAGGCGATTGAGCGGGCGCAGCGGCGGGACCGACACGTCGCCGTCGCCCGTCTCAAACTCATCGAGGACGACCCCACCCTCTGCTTGGAGGTGTGACGGAATAGCAAGGCGGGGGGGGGGAGGGTTGTGTTGTGTTGTGTCGTGTTGTGTGTGCAGTTATGCGTGTGTGTGCGATTATGCGCGTGTGTGTTGTGTGTTGCGCGGTTGAAACCCTTTCTAAGGTTGCGTACCGCACTTGTTGGTACGTGGATGCACACGCTTTCATGTTTGTCAACTGTTGAGGAACGTTGTTTCTTATCATCGCCTCTCCCATGCTCACACACACACACACACACACACACACACAACCACGTGACTGGTGGTGCAGACGCTGTCGCACTTTGACGGGCAATATGAGGCGGCGGCGCTTGCGCTGTGCGAACACATACACACGACAGACAGCACGTGGGCAGCGGCAAAGCAGCCACGCTTCGCCACATCGTTTCATCTTCCGGGATCGCTCCGTTCCATGGGTGGCTCGCAGCTCCTCAAGATGTGGTTCCACCAGCACGCCCTGCACAAGCGGTATGGGATTTATTGTGTTGTGTTATGTACATGCGTTTGTGCTGCATGTCTCCATGTGTTGTGCTGTGCTGTATGCGTGCATTGTCGTGCTGCCGGTGAGGTTTATTGCGCGCAACGTCGTGCACCCAAGGATGCTTCGTCACCTCCCTCCCTTCCCCATCAATTCCACGCGTGCACAGTTTCAAGAAATCTGAGCGGCGGCTTTCGTCGCTGTTGGAGCAGCGGCGAGAAACACAGGAAGCGCTGAGAACGGCACAGGCTGAAGGTTCGTGTTCACAAACTCACGAACACGACTGCTGCTGCTGCTGCTGGTGGTGGTGGTGGTCTGATTCGCCTGCATGCTCCTGTCGTTTTGGAAGCAGACACACATACACCTGCCCACGCACACACACACACACGTACAAAACAACATCTCTTCTCCTTGCTGCAGGCGACGAGCGAGCTATTGCTGCGCTGCACACGGAGTTGGTTGCGTTCAACAGACAGGTGGACCTGCTCTCTGCGCAGTTTGCGATGGTGTCCGCTGAGGTCTCTGTCGTGCTGGCAGAGAATGGCTTGGAGTCGTTTGCACCGCGACAAGCCCAGCCCATCGATTCTCTCGTCCAGTGAGTTCACCTCGATACCTGCGGCACGACTGGACAGCTTGCATGTGTGCGCGTGTGTGTGTGTTTGCACGAGCGTGAATGTGCACGTGCGCGATTGTGTAATTGTGTATGTCTGTGTGTGTATGCGATGAACAGCACAACACAAACACACACACACACCACACAAACACACACACACACACCACACAAACACACACACACACACCACACACACACACACACACACACACACACACACACACACACACACACACACACACACACACACACACACACACACACACACACACACACACACACACACACACACACACACCGAACCGAGCCCCCCCCAACCGTAATTGACAACATTCACGCGTTCACCATCATCTTCACCACCATCCCCACACTGACTGCAGGCTTGGTTTTAGCGAGGCGGACAGTGCGATGGCGCTGGCAGCCAACTACGGCAACGTGGAGGCAGCAACCGCCTGGCTGTTTGAGAACGCACCGCGCAGCGCAACAACTCTGGCATCCGTTGACGACATCGGTGGCGGTGGTGATGGTCATGGTGCCTTGTCGCCACGAGTAGGGTTGTCATCAAGCGTTGTCTCTGTTGGCCGGCGACACGTGAGCGAAGACGACGACGTGGAGGATGTGGAGGACTTTGACGCCGGCAACGGGGATGCAGCGGACGAGGGCGCGCTGGAGGCAAACAAGGCGTCTGCATGGTTTGCCCTCGCCAAGCTGATGGAGCGAAGCGGCAACACGGCGTACACGGCGGAGAGGGGCGCACCCTCCATGGCATCCGTGCTGGACAAGGACGCAACGCCACCCGGCGCTGTATCGCGCGTAGATGTGTTGCGAGCATCACAGCGGGATGCAGACGAGCACGACCGCCCCTCCTCCACGTCGTCTGTGCCCTCCACGGCAACCAGCGTCGCCAGCACCACGGCTGGCAGCGGCGTGCCTGCAAGCACGGATGGCGAAGCGGCGCATGCGCTTGGCGACGATGACGACGGTGTTGAGGAGCACGGCAGCGTTCGCTTCTCCATTCAATCACTCTCGCTTGGCCTCATTGATGACAGCCACGGGAAGGACGTGCCGCTGCTTGAGGGCAAGTTGGAGAGCGTGCTTGCACGCCTCAGCCTCATGCACGCCGCGGAGGACGACACCACTGTGCATCTGTACACGGACTGCCGCCTTACGTGCACCGCATTCAACCCAGAGCTCTCCGCCTGGGAGCCGGTGGTGGAGCCCTGGACGCCAACACTTGTCGTGAGTTCACGGTGGTGACTGAGAGGGAGAGAGGTTGGAGAGGTGGAGGAAGTGAGGGAGAAGGTGTCGTCTGCATACGTGCGGGTGAACGACAACGTGTGTTGTTCGTGTGGCGTTGATGTCTATGCTATTGTGCTTTCACATGCTATTGCGCTTTCGCATGCTATTGTGCCTTCGTATGTTGTCAGTACGTTTTGCGTTCACCCTCATCCCCTCACCTCTCGTCATGCCATCATCATGGTGTCCACTGCAGGCGACATACAAGCGCGAGGGCAAGACGCCCGAGCTGCTGGTAAAGATGACGACGGAACAGCGGCTGGAGCTGGTGTGCTCGCCCAACCTCATCAACCACACACTGCCAACCTTCAGCAGGTACAAGAAGTGAGCGGCAGGAGGAGGAGGGAGGTAGTGAAACCGCATTAAGTGTGTGATTGCAAGTGTGTGTGTGTGTGTGATTGCAAGTGCGCGCGTGTGTGTGTATGGATGGACAAAATGCTGTCAGTTCTCTTCCAAGTCAAATGGTCGTCTGCCCTCTTCTCGCTTCGTTTTGCTCCAACATCTATGACTGAACTCGCTCCTCTGTTCATCCACCCCCTTTTGTTCAGCTGGACGCAAGCGTACACGAACCAGGATCTGCGTGTGGTGCGGGAGGCATTTGTTCCCTACCGCTTCCACAACCGGACCGGAATTCCGCTCGACTTGCTCGTCGAGGACAACCGCGTTGTTCCCATTGCCGCCGATCAATCACGGGTGCGGCTCATTCTGTGCTGCGTTTGTGTGTGTGTGTGTGTGTGTGTGTGTGTGTGTGTGTGTGTGTGTGTGTGTGTGTGTGTGTGTGTGTGCAGTGTACGTACGTGTGTGTCAATAGGGTTGCGATGATCATTCTCCTTTCATCACTCCACCCTAATCACTGCCCATCACCCGCTCTTCTTCTTCTTCTTCTTCTCCTCCTCCTCCTCCTCCTCCTCCTCCTCCTCCCCCAAACCCTACCCCCCTCGAATCAGGACCTGAGTTTCCAGCAGCGGCGTGACAAACACCGCCAGGCGATGGCAATGGCACACGCGCAGGCGCACCGCGTTGCCTTCAGGCTGGACGGCTTCCACCAGTGCGTGGAGAAGGTGAACGTGGACCGGCTTGGCAAATACGTGCACGTTGTGCGACGCCGCGATGCTGACAAGGCGCCCGTTCGCGTCCTCGTAGAGGTACAGGGCGTGTGTGTGTGCGTGTGTGTGCTGGTGGGTGTGGTTGTTTGCTTGTGCGCGTGTGTGCATATGTATGCCTGGGCTCATGTTACCTGAGGCAACTGCACTGACTCACACATGCATGTGCACACAAACACGTACACATTTTCACACGAACACCTCTGTCTCTGCACAACTCAACTCCCTTGAATCATCCCCACTCACCAGGTGACGCTGGAGCACGGCCGGAAACACATCTACTTCACATCTGCACTGATTGTTGAGAACAAGCTATCCGTTGCTGTGGATCTCCGTCTCATCGATGTACACACTGGCGCTGCACTCGACGTTGGTCGCATTGATTCCAACGAGAAACTGCCCGTCCATCTCCTGCACACCAGCGATATGATCTGCTGTCGCCCTTCCTCGCAGGGATTCAGGTCAGCTCGCAGTCACGGCTGCTGCCTTGGCGTCGTTGTTTCTCGTGCGTGTGTGTGTGTGTGTGTGTGTGCGTGCGTGCGTGCGTGCGTGCGTGCGTGTGTGTGTGTGTGTGCGTGTGTGTGTGTGCGTGTGCGTGCGTGCGTGTGCATATACCTTTCTCCATGTACACTTCGTTTTGGGCCGTTCTTTCTGTTTAATAATCACATACACACACTCACAACCCCGCCTCCACTACCACCACCACCATCATCACCTCTCCATCAGGTTCTCTGCGCCACTGCGGGCGTGGGGCGACATGAGCCGACCAGGCGTTCCCCGCGGCACGCTGATGAGCTGCGAGGCCATTGCCGATACGTCATATGACACTGTTCCCGAGACGTTCCACTGCTATGTCAGCATTGTCGAGCACGGCGTGCGGCGACGCGATGCGGCCCTCCCCTGCCACACCGTCACGCTCGTGCCCCCGCTTGTGATTGCCAACTTGCTGCCGGTCGATGTGCGGTTTGAGATTGTCGACACCACGCTCTCAGACTCGCTCTCATCCGGACAGAGCCAGGCCTTGAACATGGTCAACCTCAACGTGAGTTTGAGAAGAGGAGAGGGAGGAGTAAGGGCCGTGTGGAGTTGCGCTTGCATGTGTGTATCCAAATCCCACACGCATGGTGGTACGTGTGCTCCTTGTATGTATGCTTGTGGCGTGCGTGACGCACTTTGTGCTGTGGGGTTCTCGCATACTCACGTGTTGCGTTTGGTTCGCTTCTCGCTCCATCGATTTCGTCTCATGTGCACCGTTTCTCCGTCATTGCCACAGCACAACCTGAGCATGCGCATCAAGATTGACAAGTTTGAGTGGAGCACGGTGTGTCTCATCCACACCACCTCCAGTCGCACCGCAACAGATCCCTTCATCCATCTCCGCGATGCAAACAGGAGGTGGGGCAGCCATCACTTTGCCGTACGGCCGCTGCTGTATCGAAAACTGGCAATTGTGGATCATTCATCCTGCTAAACATTTTGCACTGCCACGAGCAGCAGTGCCTCACTCTTACGACCTCACATACTCTCTCCTCACACGCACAAACTGCACACATACTCTCACATTCATTCGCATGCACGATGCACTGACTACCCCCATCTCCTACTCCATTCTCTGCACAGGTGTTTGCGTGTGCGCATTGTGAACCATCAGCTCCAGGATCCTCTTGGCGCTCGCGTCGTGCATCTCGTCGCCGATTTCTGGATTCTCAACGAAACGCGACTGCCACTCGTCTTCATGGACCATCACACCGATGATGCCATGCCGGGCGTGGCCCCAGAGGTGGGCCGCTGTCTCGCTTGTCTCGTATTGGGGTGTTGTGCTGGGTTGGTGTGCTGTGTTGAAGTTGTACGCTGTGTTGCCTTGTTGCATGTGTTTGCCTTCCCGCATTGCCGACCTGTCTCACCAATGCATGCATCTCTTCCCTCACACGTGTGCACGCCATCAGGAGGACACAACCAAGCGCGCGATTCTGTTCACACCAGGCATCGCTCGCTCGCAGGCCAAATGCAAAATCAGGGTAATAGAGTACACAGCACGCGTGCACCCGCAAGCCTCCATCTGGCATTGTTTTTGTCGTTGATTTCCTATTGATGTCGCTGTTTTCCTATCAACCTCTTCAGTTCACCACCGTTTGTTGCTACTCCTCCTCACCTCTTCCACCATCATGGCCGCGCGCGTGCGCGTGTGTGTGTATGTGCGTGTATGTGTATGTGTGCATGTGTTTGTTTATTTGCAGTTTGGGCGGTCGTCGTATTGGAGTCAGGGCATCCCGATCGACACGGTCGGCTCGTCTGGCTCTGTCGACGTCAACGCCGCAGACGTCTCCTCAGAACTCAAGGTGGGGCACACACAGTTAAATACGTACACACACACACACACACACACACGTACACACACACACACACACACGTACACACACACACGCACACACGTACACATGTACACATGTACCCAGCCACTCACTCCTTCCACAACACACACATATGTACATACAACCACATGTGCAACATGTTCGCTGTGTCCCCCCAAACAGGCGTATCAAGTTGGTGTTGAGGTGAACAAAGGCCAGGGCCGGTTCTTCCGCACAAAAGTCGTGCGCTTTGTGCCGCGATTTGAGTTTGTCAACCGGACAACACGCGGGCTGCTTGTCTCACAGCACCAGCAGCCGTTTGGCGCCGCGTTGTGTCACGTGCGAGCCGGCGAAACGGTCCCCTACCATTTTCCGGACTTGCGCGTCGGCTCTTCTGTCCAGATGAAGTTTGAATCGGACGCGGCGTGGTCGTGGTCAACACCGTACGCCCTCGCTGATCCAGGCACCCTGCACATCAAGATGACGCGCGCATATGGGGCCGTCGAGATTGTGCGCGTGGACGTGCGGCTGCATGGTGCCACGACGCAGGTGGGAGCACGCGTGAAGCGAGGAATGGCCATGCAGACATGAGCTTGCTTGCCGCGACATGCGTGTCGCAAATTGCGTGAAGCTGTTTGTGAACATGCGCGTGTGGGATACGCATGCTACTGCCTGCATGCACGCGGTGTTGTAAATTGGATTTGCTCCATGTGTTCACCTTCAAATGCCACCTCAACTCCTCTTCCCCTCCCCACCCCTTCCATGTGTTCCGTCTCGCTGCCTGCAGGTGATTGTGTCCGACAGCACCGACGCGCCGCCGTTCCGCATTGTCAACGAGAGCATGATCTCCATCAAGTACAACCAGGACGGCGCTGGTGTTGCGTACTCACTCCATCCTGGCGAGCAGCATGCGTTTGCGTGGGATGTTGTCACGCATTCACCCATGCTGGTGGTCACCGCAGCCACGGACGTGAAGGCCGGCACCCGCTTTGACCTGCAGCGCATTCGTTCGCGCGAACGCTTCAGGTCAGGCTGACGTTTGTGTGCGTCGTGTGTACGTGTGCGTCTGTGCGCGTGTGCCGTCCGGTTGTGTGTGTGTGTGTATGTATGCGCGTGTGTGTGTGTGCGTCCAGTTGTGTGTGTGCGTGCACTGTTGTTGTTGGTGTGTGTCGCACACATGCAAGCCCTCTCCCTCACGAATGTCCAACCACATCCAACACGACACGACACAACACAACACAACACAATTACCTGCAATCTACCATCTATTTGCAACCACCACAGGTACAAGCAGCAGTTCTTCATCACGGGCCCGGACGGGCTGGTTGTCGGTGCGCGGCGCGCAGGTTCACACGAACACATCCCCGCGTGTCTCGTCAACAGGCGTGCGGGCGACCCGTTCCAGCTGTGGCAGTTCCATGGCCGTGAGCTCATCAACAAGGCCGGCTATCGTCTTGAAGTCTCCACAGAGGGATTGGCGGGCGCGCAGGTGCACATGCGCAAGTGGTCGCCCTCTGTTCGGCCTGGCCAGGCTCCACTCACCCCGCACCAGATGTGGAAGTTTGAGCAGGGACGCCTGCTGTCCTTCAAAATTGTGCAATCGAGCTCCAATTCGCTGCAGCGCGGAACGCCCTATGCCCTGCACGTCCTGTCGGACAGCCAGTCCGGCAGCGTTGGCGACGGCGCCCTCCTCATCATCTCGCCCGCGCCCACACGCCGCTGTGATCGTGCGCAGTCGTTCAAACAGCTGTGCGATCCACCGGGCAGTGGCGCTGTTGTGGGCGAGGTCACAGCCGACGGCGCAACCCGTGTGCTCACGTTCCATGACGCAGCAGACTGTACGTTGGTTGTTCCTGAGAACGCGTGGGTTGTGTGTGTGTGTGTGCGTGTGCGTGTGTGTGTGTGCGTGTGCGTGACTTCTTGTGTGCGAGTGTGTTTGTGTGAGTGTGGGTGACTTGTGTGCACGTGCTGTGTTAGCGTCCACGCACGTTCACTTCATTGCCTCGCATGTTGGTCCTCCTTGCCGCTTTCGTATGTGCACACGCAGTCGAGCGCAAGCTGCGGCAAAACCGGCAAGAGGATCTGCTTGTGAGCTTTGAGGTGACACTTGACGAAGGTGTTGGCCTGTCGTTGATCGACCGCAACGCGCGTGCGCTGCTGTACGGCGCTGCACGCGGTGTTCTTCTCAACGCCCGCCGCTCCTTTGCTGAGGACACACTCGGCTTGGGCGTCTACCAGTTCCAGGTTAGGGAAGCGGGAGATGGGAGGTGTTTGTGCCTCAGTGTGCTCGTGTGTGCTCGTGTGTGCTCGTGTGTGTGTGTGTGTGTGTGTGTGTGAAAGTAGTGGTATGTGCTCGCGACAATGCAACCTGTTCACAATTAATGTACTCACGCGTCTTCTCGGCATCACTGCCACTGTTGTCTTTAACAGGTGGACAACCAGAGCAATTTCTCCACCAAGCGGCCAGCGGTGCTGTGGTCCGCATCGCCGAAGAAGACACGCGCTCTTCAGATTGATCTCCAGCGGACACACGACGCCCTCACATCGTGCATGATATTCCACAACCTCGAGGTGCGTCGCAGTGTTCGTGCGTGTACGCATTGTGTGTATGTGTGTGCGTGTGTGTGTGTGTGTGTGTGAATGTCATTGTACGAGCAGTGCGTGTGTCTCTGTGCGTGTGCGTATGTGTGGTGCAGTGTGTCGTTGCAACTTGTCCTCATCTTCTTCTCAACATCGTCATTGTCAACTGCTCGTGCACACGACCGACTTCGCTGTCAGATTGCTGTTGCGCCGCTGCGGTTGCGCTTGGAGGAGCTTGTGCTGCTTCGCGTTCTCGACATTTTCCGTGATGTCCTCATCAGCAACCAGACGCAGAAGGTCTTGATGCGACTGGTGGTGCAGTAGTGGTGGAATGGGCGCATCGCGGTGTTGGAAGAGTGATTGATCTGTCTGAGGGAAAGCGTTCAAATCACACACAACATCGGTCACAGTCGCACTCAGTAGCACACAAACACACACACGTATTTCGCACAATCACACACACACACACATCGCGCAATCACATGTCCTCGCTACGCAGGTCATGCATCCGAGTGAAACGCTGTTCTTGGCGCCGACGGAAGAGGACCTGATGCATTCACTTCACAAGGCGCCGCTCTCGACGCTCGAAACGTGCGCGTGGGCATGTCGATATGCGTGCGTGTGTTCTTGATGCACTCATACATGCAACAGCGCGTGCTTGCCAGTTGCGTTTACTCTCTCGTTGTGCCCATCCACTGCGCTCACTACATGCTCTGCATGCTCCCTGCACCGCGGCATTCCAATGACAGGCCACTGCAAGTGTTCTTTGAAGTGTTCAACTTCTCCAAACTACAGGTGCGGCGCACAACACGGTGCTCATCCATATGCGCTCACAAGCATTGCACCTAACTCACGCCTTCACACACCACGCAGCTGCACACAGCCGCACACACCTGCACACAGCTGCACTCAGCTACACACACGCACAAACGCATGCAAACACCGCAACTCACGCATGCGACTTGACTTCCTTGGGTTTTGTCCTTTAGATTGAGGCGGCTTGCTACACATCGCAGCTTCCTGCGCCCATGCAACAACTGAAGAACGTCTGTCACCTGGCCTTGCTGTTGTCATCATTGGTTTCGAATTGCATTGTCACGGATTTCACTTGCTCTCTCACAAGCACACAAGCACACACATTCTTCTGTCACTCACCCACTCGTGCAACCTCACGTGTACACGCTTCCATCTCCACACACACACACACACACACACACACACACACACACACACACACACATGTGCTCGCGTGTATCCGCAGGAGCTTGGCATCAAGTTTTATGGCTTTGAGAACAAGTTTCGGATTGAGGCGTTTTCGCTCAGTTCGCCGTTTGTGAACCAAACCGCCCTCTCGGAGCTCGTTGTTGACCACTTCAAGCAGCAAATCATGTGGCAGCTCTTCAAGGTGCCTGTGTGTGTATTTGTACGTGTGTTTGTGCACATGTGTGTGTGTGTTTGACTTGCAAACAGCCTGCTTCTTGATGCCACTCTTTCCTTCACCCAATCTTACGGCACCACATCCCTCCACTGCGCACCCCCCCCCAAACCGACCACCAGCTTGTCATGTCGTCAGATGCGTTTGGAAACTTGCTCGGGCTTGGTCGTGGTCTTGGGCGCGGCGTCTCCGATTTCATCAAACACACGCGCAGGGGCCGCGTCTTCACCGGCGCCGGGGTATGATGCAACTCATGCCTGGGACGCGCATGAATGCGCGAGTGTCTCTGTGTGTCTCTGTGTGTCTCTGTGTGTCTCTGTGTGTCTGTGTGTGTATTTGTGCCTGTGTGTGTATTTGTGCCTGTGGTTTTGTGCATCTGTGTCTGTGCATGTGTGGATGTGTGTGCCTCTGTGTTCATTGTCGCTGCTGTTTCAAGCCGTGCAAGCGCGTGCGCACTCACTCTCACACACGCGCGCCCCCACTCACCAACATGCATGCACTCGTTTTCTCTCCAATTCACGCGTGTCCCCCCCCCCCCTTCTGGCCGGGTGTGCAGCTGCTGGCGACCAACGTGGCCAACTCCGTGGCGGACACCACCTCCAAGCTGTCGAAAACCGTGTCAAACGTGTTTACGACGAGCCGTGCAGCGGAAGCGGAGCAGCGGCGGCGCGAGCAGCAGCCGGGCGTGGGCACCGCAGTCTCAAACCTCACAGACAACTTTGTTGGCGGGCTCAAAGGTGACTGCAGGAGGTGACTGTGACTGCAGGAATGTGTGTGTGTGTGTGTGTGTGTGTGTGTGTGTGTGTGTGTGTGTGTGTGTGGCTGCGCTCAAGCATGTTTGTGTGTCTCTGCACATGTATGGCTGTACCTGCAGTATGCCAACGCAACACTTGTCGTGTGGCATCACATGTTGTTGCCGTTAGCCCCTCACCCCGCCATCCCCTCATCACCGTCAGGGTTCTTCTCCCGGCCCATTGAGGGTGCGAAGCGGACGGGCGCAACCGGTTTTGTCAAAGGTGCGATGTTCATGATCACGCGCATTGGACCATTGTTTCATGGTGGCGCCACACCGCTGCTGATGACGATGACGCGTGTCTTTGGTACACGTGTATGTCCTGTTGCTGCTTTGTTGGGTTTTTTGTTCACTGACACCGCTGCGCCACGTGTGCAACTCCGCATTGCGTCAGGTTTCTTCCAGGGCACGGGCGACATGATCAGCGGCACCGTTGGCGGCAGCATGAATTTCGTCTCGGATATGAGCGCAGCCATCAAGTGCGTGCGCGCGGGCGTGTTTGCGTGTGGTGATCTGGCTTGAATTTGTTCCTTTCATGAAAATGATCTCTGTGTGTCTCGACCAAGGCACCGTTCCCTGAGCATTGCTGCGCTTGCACAAGCGTGAATGTGCATGCGTGTTTCACAATGTCCATTGACACCTCTTCCCTCTCCTCCTCGTCCCACTCTTTACTGTGCCTGCATCACGTGCCATCTGCAGAGAAACGACTGCGGTGAACTCGAGCCCTGAGCGCATCCGGCTGCCACGCTGCATTGGTCCCGGCCTCATCATCACGCCCTACAACCTCCAGCTCGCACGTGACCAGATGCTCCTCTACAAACTCAACGGATACACAATGGTGCGCTTGATTTGTGTGTGTATGTGTGCGTGCATGTGTATGTGCATGTGTGAAGCCAGATGTACCTTGACAAGTGCTTGCTGTTTTGCTGACGCTGTTCCCCTCCCCCCCCCACACACACACGCGCGCGCGCGCGCGTCAGGACGAGCGGCTGCTGGGAACAATGAAGCTGTGCCAGCTTAGTGGCCAGGTTGCCATGGGTGAGTTTGACACGATGAACCAGCTGTCATGCCACCCTTTTTGCTGCTGCTTATGTGAATATCAAGATGGTTTATTCACGTCACTTATGCGCACACACACACACACACACACACACACACACACACACACGCACGCACGCACGCAGTGTCGAGCGATAGGTTGATCATCCTTGACCAGCGTGACGGGGTGTCGATTGTGTCGGAGGTGTGGTACAGCGGAATGCACAAGCACGTGGTTGTGTCTGAGGAAGCGCCGTCCACCTCCAGATACTCAATCTTCTACGTCGAGTTCATGCTTGACCCACAGGTAAGAATGAGAGGCAGTGTGTGTGTATGTGTGTGTGTGTAATGTTGCGATGCGTTTGTTGGCTGGTGAGGGTGGGCGTCTTTTCCTGTTGCATGGCAATGCGTGATGGAAATGCGTGCTAACCACACCTCGAGGCTCACACACTCACATACTCACGCACGCATACACACACACACATACTCACGCACGCATACATACATACACATACTCACTCACGCATACATACACACACATACTCACGCACGCATACACAAACACACAGATGGAGCAAGAGGTGCGCCGCGCTCTTGAGATGAACGGGAGCTCGCGCCTGTCAACCATCAAACCACTGCCTGATGAGTCGCCATCGTCGTTGTCATCGTCATCATCCCTGTCGTCGTCGTCTGCGTCAAGAGGGCCCGCCAGCCACAGCCGTTATGATCGACGAAGACACGACGGCGCTGGGAACGATTCCAGGCATTCACAGCAGCCGTCACGCCACGGCAGGGATGACCGTGGTCGTGGTGGGCGCCCAAAGCCGAGGCGCATGCGGATTCGATGTGACACGAAAGACATTGCCATTGACCTCTTCCACCGCGTTGATCACGCTTCGCGCCTGTTCCGGGAGAGCCAGAACAAGTGCGTGTATTACGACGTGCGCCAGGCACTCGCCTTCCGCCAGAAGGAGACCTAAGCCGCTTGCTGTGTGTACATGCTTGCGGGTGGCGCATACACACTTGTTTGGTTTTTCGGGTAAAAGCTGAACGTGTGTGTGTGTGTGTGTGTGTGTGTGTGTGTGTGTGTGTGTGTGTGTGTGTGTGTGTGTGTGTGTGTGTGTGTGTGTGATGCGTGAGCTGCTTGCTTGTTTGTTGTCTTCTTTCTCTCGCATGTCCTGCCCCGCTTATTCTTCATGTTGTCCATAGCATTCGCTTGCTGTTGTGGTGTATTGATGTGACCATAATGAACCCGAACTGTCATGTGTTGGATTGCGCAGTCACGCCCATGATGCCAGGCGAAGAAGCCGTGTCACAACGCAGCATGGTTTGCGGAAGTGGGTAATGTCTGGTGCTGATAGAGCTGGAACACGTGGCGTGTGTGCGCAGTTGTGTTTGCATCGCAGAACGACTCCACTGCCCGCCGTTGTCGGTGTTGTTGAATGACGCGGAGGCGGGCTTGGCGTGGAGGTAGCGGCTGGTGCACAGCGGAAGGCGGCAGCGGTTCCGTGCCGCACCACGTGTTGTCGTCGACGAGGTCGAGGTGGAAGTGTGCTGCGCCCCACGTGTTGTGGCCGTGCAAGAGTCGGAAGTACCAATCCGGATGGTTGTCGCAAATATGGACCGTTCCCACCTCACGCACATCGCGCAGGAAGAGCGAGTCTTCCTGTCGTGCCAGTTGAGGATAGCGAAGCTCCTTCGTGGCTGGCGTTGCTCGAAGCATGAGCGTTCCCATGATGCCGGGCCGCATGCGTTTGAGGAATGTCGAGTTCTGGTGCAGGGCCACCTGCCACTGTCGCTCCAGCACGCATCCGAGCGCATGCGCCTGTGTCATGCAATGGTACTGCGACTGCAGCGCATGCTTTGGGCGCCAGTCTGCTTATCCGGTGAGAAGTGGAAGAGAAGGCAAGCAGGGAGAAGGGAGGAGGGGCGGGGGCGTGAGTGGGTGATGCTAATGACTCGAGAACTCGAGGAGGTCAGCCGGGAACAAAATTCCATTGCAAGCACGCACGGATACAGCGACATGCACTGTTGCAGACACATAGACATACAGACACACACATAGACAGACAGACAGACAGATAGACATACATACACACACACACGGACGCACGTACGCACACACAGACACAGACACAGACACAGACACAGACACAGACACAGACACAGACACACACACACACACACACACACACACACACACACACACACACAAGAGGCTGACCGTCATCGTCCCACTGCACCCAAGTGGCGTTGGTGGGAACGGCGCTGATGCCCATGTTGCGCAGGGTGCCAAGTTTCAGGTCAGCTGACGCGCGAATCTCGTGTTGGCACGGGTGTGGGTTGAGGGTGAAGTTGCCCGTGTTGACGATGATCAGGACCTTAGAAGGGTACGTCTGGTTGTGGAATGCGTCGGCGGCCAGCTGTGCCAGTGCTTCGCGATGCACGTCCTTGCCTGTGATCATGATGCCAAAGATGGTCTCGCTGCCACCGTGCTCCACAGCGTGTGGCGCTGTCGCCCTCGCACATTCCCTCGACACGTGCGCTTGCTCACTCGTCGCCAACACACTCCTCCCACTTTCAACCAGCAGGGAGAGCACCACCAACAACATAAACACAGCACCACAATGCAAGTCCATCATCGTTGTTGCAGCGGCAAAATTCACTACACCCAGGTTGGGTTGTACACTTGGGAGTTTCGCGCACTGTCATCACATTCACATGTCACGCCCACTTCCAGACGTGTCTCACGTATGCCAACCCAAGAGTCTCCCCTCCCACCTCTATGTCTGCTTCTCACAGTGACACGTGATCGGTTGGTGCACAAGGGTTGGGATGATGATTGACGTTCATAACAACGTGAAATCACATTATGAAGATGAAGATGAAGATGATGACGATAAGCGAAAGCAAACGCATGTGCAGGAGCAGCAGGAAGAACAGCAGCGACAGGTTCGCCAACACCAGGACAACCGCCCCCACAACGACAGAGACGATGCATGCTGTTCGTGAGCCTGCAGGGTGTTGTCCATTTGCTGAGGAGGTGGTGATGGTGGTGGCATGACGCTGGCTTGCGGTGGTGAAGGAGGGGTCACTATCAGGACGTCGAGTGGTTGTGCTGATGATGTGGTGGTCGTTGCAGTTCACTGCTCATCCTGGGGGCGGACGATAACGAGGGGCTTGGTGAGGTGGTGGCTCAGCCACGTGCTGACGCTGCCGAGGACGGCGCGGGTGATGGCACCACGGCCGCGGCAGCCAACGACAACGGCGTCTGCGTTGATCTTGTCGGCAAGCTCGCTGATGCACATGCGCGGGTCACCGGCAAGCAGGTGCTGCTCGTGTTTGATATGGGGCTCCTCACCAACGCAGCGCACAACAGCGTCGCGCAGCACAGCCTCGGCCTTTGCTCGCAGGGCCTCCTGTGTACGTTTGATTTGGGCAAGGTGAGAAGAGGAGGAGAGGCGTGTGAGTTTGGTGTGTGTGTGTGCGTGTGTGGGGGGGGGGGTTGGTTGGTTGTGGATTGCACCCAGTGTCGTCAAGTGCGCCACAAGAGCCGAGACGAGAGACGCTTCGCATGCACGCATGCACGCGTGCGTGTGTGTGCGTGTGTGTGTGTGTGTGTGCTAAGCAGCGAACAAGAGCACACCTCACACCTCACACTCATGCATACAGACACATCGCTCGTTTGCGTTGTGCACACCTGGTCCTTTTGTGATGGGGAGAAGACGATGCCGTCCTCGAGATCAACAAACTCCTCCATGGGCGTGTAGCAGTAGACGAGGTGGAGGATGTCGGCCTCACCACAGAGGTTCTCGATGGCCCAGTCCATGGCCGCGTCGCCGTACCTATGAGGAGGAGGAGGAGGAGGATTGGGGAGGGAGAGGGAGGGAGGTGAGCGTGAGTTGACAGTGAGTGGAAGGAGATCATGGCGACGAAGACTCTACGATCGAACACACATAGACACACAGGTACACAGACCACACACACACAGACACGCACACAACACATAGAAACACACACACACACATGCACATGCACGTACTTGCTGCCATCGACGGCGACGAGGATGTTCTTGGGGCGAGCCCAGATGCTGAGGAGATCCTCCTTGGTCTTGCGTGGAGTCGTCATCGTGTTGGTGGTGGTGCTGGTCGGGAGGTTGGATTGATGTACGTCGTCTGACACGAAAGAACGTCAGTGTGTGTGTGCTCTCAAACAAGCAGCTCACAGAAGTCAGGTGCGTCAAGAAGGTAGGTGTGAATGGATGGTGTGGTGTGAATGTGAATGGCAGCAACCAACCGGGTAGAGAGAGAGAGAGAGCGTGCGAGCGATCAAGGTTTGCGAAGAAGAAGCAAAGAAATGAACATCAAGCAACATGCAAGCAGCGCAAGAAGCAAAGCAAGCCAGCCAGTGCACAAACAAACAAACAACGCAGCAGCAAGCAAGCAAGCAAGCAAGCAAGAAGGAGGAGACGAAATTCGCTGCCCTGACGCAAGACAACCCGGACCGTTGCAGAAGCAACAGTGCGCGGTCATGGGTGGTGTGTTCTCGGCGATTGGAGCAGCCGGCAACAAGGCAGAGGAGGCAGAGGTGGGTGGAGAGGACGCATCCGCGCAGACCCCTGTGAAGGAGCAGGAAGGGGCTGCACAGCGAGAAGCGGAGGCTGTGAAGCAGCAAGACTTGTCCACGTGGATCAAGGGCCATCACCGAAGGCTACGAAAGCGGGTGCAGAACCCATCACCAGAAACGCTGAAGAAGGCGGAGCGCACGGCCAAACAACTTGGAGGTGAGCTGTACGTGTGTGCACATGCGTGTTTATGTGTGTGTGTGTGTGCGTGTGTGTGCCTGTGTGTGAGAGTGTGAGAGTGTGAGAGGGGTGTGACTGTGTGTGTGCGACTGTGTGTGTGTGTGTACATGTGTGTGTGTGTGTTTGTGTGTGTGTGTGTGACTGAGTGCGTGTGTGTGTGCACATGTGTGTGTGTGTGCGGTGCAATCGTGGTGCCGGTGATGGTTGACGGGTTGACGGTACAGCTTGCTTGCGTGCTGTGCACCGCTAGTATCCCTGGAGCAAGCGCTGGCCGAGCACATCTGGAAGGACCACCTCAGCGACGCTACTGCACTTGAGGTGCGCACGCGTGAGCCAATGCGCATGCGCTTGTCTGTGTTCGTGTGTGTGCATACGTTTTAATGCTCGCAGTGTCCGCGTATGTGTGTGTGTGCTTAAGTTTGTTTGTGTGTCGTTGCAGTGTGCCAAGATGCCACCAGCTTCACCCTGACTGAACCCGTTCGGTGCCACACTCTGCACGTAGACATATGCACAGGCCATGAGAACTCTGGCAACTTCATTCTGGAAACGCGATGATGCAGCAGACAGCAGGATCAACTGGTACGTTCGCACGCATGTGCACCAGTGAGTGAGTGAGTGAGGAAGTGGGCCCAACTGTCTGTACATTCATGCGACCCCGGCATTGCTCTTGTTCGTCTCTGCGTTCAGGACCACTGCCCATGTGGTTCATGATGACACGATGCTCTCGCCCCTACATCCCTATGCTTGCCACAGGTGCCTGAAGATGATGCGCAATTACTTTGAGGGCGGCGGCCGCTCTGCAGCTGTGGCGAAAGACGCCCGCAGGCGTACACACAAGCAAGCAGCAACACCAGCAACACCAGCAACAGCAGAGGCAGGAGAGACAGCAAAGAGGCGGAGAGGGCACAATGCTCACGGCTCAGGCGATGTGTACAGTGGCAATGGCGAGCTTGCGTTCAAGCGAGCGAGGCGTGCCGCTGGTCAAAGTGAAGACGATGCACCTACAGCAACAGCCCCGCACTCAGCGACGTCTTCTCCGACGGCATCGCAAGCATCATCGACGCGTGACGACGACCGTGGTGTGCCGACAACGTTGACTGATGTGCATCTGCTGGACGTCGGGTCTTCCTTCAATGCGTTTCGACGCCACAACCTCCACGTGGATGCCATCGATATTGCCCCAGCAGCAGACGGTTGGTTGTTTTCGCCCTGTGCTGGTTGTGTCGTGTTGTGTTGTGCGTGTGTGTGCTGGGTGTGTCGCGTTTTGTGTGTGTGTGTGTGTGCTGTGTGTGCTGTGTGTGTGTATGTGTGTGTGTGTGTGTGTTTATGTGTGTGTGTATGTGTGTGTGTGTGTGCGCGCGTGTGAGCGAGGTTTGGGGTTCGGCTTGCATTCACGAGGACGGCTGCACAAGTGCTTACACACCACTTGCATTCCATGCTTCAGGCGTGATCCGGTGTGATTTCCTCAACGCTCCCATCGTCTCCATCACGGGTGCGCATGTGCGTGTGCGTACATGTTTGTGGGCGAATGACCTAAAGGCAGGGCCTGCTGCCGTTGTTTTGCGGCTTGTCGATACCATTTCCCGTTCCTGTGAACACTCACACTGCAGGTGCTCGCGTGTGTGGACTGTGCATGCATGCATGCATGCATGTGGCGACAGAACACACAGCGTCTTCACCATCTTCATCGTCGTCATTTCAGCTTGTGGAAGGATCTTATGACGTGGTGGTGTTCAACTTTCTCCTCTCATACATCCCAACGCCAGCGCTCAGATACAGGTGTGGTGCATAGTGTGTGTGTATGCGTGTGTGTATACGTGTATGTGTATGTGTATGTGTGTGTATGTGTGTGTGCTTTGTGTGTGTATTGCGCGCGCGTGTGTATGTGTATGTATGTGTGATATGTGCGTGCGTGTGCGTTTCATGAGCAGTGGGTTCGGTCACATGCTCAAAACACAACACCTTTCACCATATTGGCACGTGCTGTTGCCGTGATCATGCGGTGTCAATTAGGTGCTGCGAGCGGGCGCGGCGGTGTCTGAAGAGAAATGGGCTGCTGCTCATTACAACGCCAGACTCAAACCATGTCGCAAAGGTGAGGGTGGTGAGCAAGGCGTCGTGCACACCATCACAGGGCAGACATACGAGCAAACTGGCCACACACACACACACACACACACACACACACACACACACACACACACACACACACACACACACACACACACGTGCACACACACGTGCACACACACATACACACATGTCCACAACAGGGGTCCAAGTGGATGCGGGAGTGGCGCACGTCTGTGGAGTCGATTGGTTTCCGGCGCTGGCGATACGAGAAGCTCAAATTCTTCCACGGAATTGCGTTTCGCGCCGTCGCGGACGAGGACGCGGTGGAACCAACAAGGTGCTGTTGCGTGCAGTACATGCGCGTGTGTGTTGTGTAGTGTGTAGCGTGTATGGTGTGCGCGCGTGTTTGCCTTTGCTTCATCGACATCATTGACTTCGAGCAATGGTACACGTGTGAGCCACCAAACACTCACCACGCCTTGTCTCACCGTTATCCCTTGCTTCTCCCTCCATGAAAATCACAGCCTCTCACGCAATGAGCTGATGGCGCTGATGGCCAGGCCCAGTGATCCCATTTTCGAAGACAAGTAGCAGCACAGAAACACAAGGGTGTGTGTATGTGTGTGTGTGTGTGTGCGTGTGTTTGTGTGCATGCGTGCGCACTTTATTTTTCTCCGCAGGTCATTTTCGGTCTTGTGAGTGGTGCATTGCACCCGTTCCCCGCCCACTCCCAGTCACAGCTGAAATAGGCTCGTCACCAGCAATAGGAAGTCGTCGTCTTCTTCGCCATCTTGTTGTATGTATCATATTCTCGTCATGAGCAAACAAGCAAGAGCAAAGGCACGGATGGAATTCATAAAACAAGCAACAAGAAGCAAACATAACCACATTACACACACACACACACACACACAGAGCATCTTCAGACATCTTCTGTATCACTGCCACCACCACCACCGCCACAGCCACCATCCCACCTCGAACCCAGCCCCCCCCCCTTGCACCGCCACCTACGCATCAACACATCACGGCACACGTGCATCAGTCAAAGACGAGGTCACGGCCCTTCGACGACTCCTGGATCACGTGCCGCCTCGGCTCACGATCATCCATTCGCCGTGTTGGCCGGTGCCCAAGCTGCTGCTGCTGCTGCTGCTGTCGGTGGCCTGGGCTGCTGGCGCTACTGCTACCGCTGGTGGCCGGACCACGAGCGACGATGCGGCGCGGTTGGTTTGGCAGTGCCCGCCCCGTGTTGGGGCTGTGCTGCTGCACGGGCTCACGAACACCGGGGTTGTACCGCGGATACGCCTGCTGCTGCTGCTGCTGTTGTTGTTGATGTGGTGATCGCACACCACTTCCACCGCTGCTGGCGCCGCTGCGTGTCTGTGGGGGCTGATGCGCACGTGCACGCATGCCCGCGCCCTGTGGCGTGCGCTGCGTGGGGCGGTGTTGGCCCTGCTGCTGCTGTGGGCGGCGGCCTGCTGATGACGCCAGCGACGACGGCGCTGTTGGTCGCCTGCTCTCGTCCAGCGCCGTCACAGCCGTGTATGGCGGCGGGTTGGACGGCAAGTTGCGGCGGGTGGACGGTGGACGCGCGCCAATTACCCGCTGGCCCGATGTCGCCCGCCGTGCAAGCTCCTGCCGCTGGGCGCTCTGGTGCTGCAGTCGCGCCTGCTGCTGCTGCTGGCGGCGCTGCATCTGCTCTCGTTGCCGCTGCTGCTGCTGCTGAAGTTGATGTTGCTGCTGTTGTTGCTGCTGGCGGCTGGGTTGTGGCTTGTCGTGGGCAGCAAGGGCCTGCGCCCGCTTCTCAGGATAGCGCTTCTGCTGCTGCTGCTGTTGTTGTTGGCGTGCACGCTGGCGCTGCTGCTGAGGTTGCTGCTGAGGTTGTTGCTCGCGTGCTCTTGCCACCTTAGCACCACGCCTCTTCCGCTCACCGTTGCCTTGTTCACTGCTGCCGCTGCCGCTGCCGCTGCCATTGCGACGGCGATCGCCACCGTCGCGAGTGCTGGCAGCACGGGCGCCACGCCGCCTCTCACCACCGCCACTGGAGCCAGCCAGCCCGTTGGAGGGTGCAGGGCCACCACGACCATCGCGGCGTGGGCGTGGGCCCCTTGCTGCTGCAGACGTATCTTTACTGCGGCGGCGGCGGCCCGCTGTGCCAACAGCTCCGCCCTGGCGCGGATGTTTCTTCCGCTTCATCGTGCTTGCTGTGCGGCGCGTGCCGTATGCGGCGTTGAGTTCGCGCTGCTTGTGGTCGTACCGCTTGATCAGACACACGGCCGGGATCCACAGCAGCAGCGCCACAATCATCACCGCGCCCACAATGTTGTTGCGCGCCCACAGCTTGAGGCTGTCCAGCGAGAAGTTGTCCGGGTCCCAGAAGCGCGCAATCCCCGACGCAGCGCGCTCGCACTGGCCCTGGCGGTTACACTGCCCAGAGCTGCACGGCGTGCCGGGTGGCAGGTCGAGCACATGCAGGCAGTCGTTGACGTCTGGCTCCGTGCACGGCTGGAGAATCGGGTTGTCCTCGTATCGGGTGTTGGCGGCGTCGTTGGGGTCGTCCGCATAGCACTGCGGGTCGGAGACGCGCGCCTGCGTCACCACGGACATGGCCGGCACGCACCCGTCAAAGTCCTGGAAGGGGCAGCCGCAGTTGCTGCCACCGCTGCAGTCGGCATCCGGGTTGTGCTCGCAGCACATGCTGCACTCGTCAGAGCCCGTGCACGTACACTGCGTTGCGCCAAAGCGCTCGCAGAACGTGATGCAGCGCTTGTCTGGGTCGGCCACTTCCTGGCAGCGCCCACCGTTGCTGCACGGCTCACCGGCAGCCTTTGGCGGCGGCGGGTCCTGGCACTCACCACCCACGCACATGCCCACGCCCCTGCAGAGCGGGTCAAGGTCAAAGGGCTCGTAGCACTGGTGCGTGTTGTCGGCATAGAAGCTGCAGGTGGCGGAGTCGCAGCAGATGTTGTTGAGGGCGGTGCACTGCGTGGCCTGCCCGTTTGGCCGCTTCAGCTCGCACGCGCTGTTGCAGCACTGGTCCTGCTCGCCACCTGCATCGCACTCCTCCGACGTGTCGCCGGTGGGGTCCGTCTCCACCTTTCCGTTCCCACACACGCCGGCCGGCTGCGGCGCAAAGCACGTGCCCTTCACGCGCAACACGGCCGCAATCAGCTCGCGCGAGCACGGCGAGAAGTGCTGGTTGTTGTCCTGTGAACCATCGACGGCCACAGCAAACATGAGGTACTTGCCGCCGTTGAGTTCGTCGGGTGCACACACGGGATCCTCCGGGTCGTCGTGTGACGAGCCCCAGTTGTGGCCGACCTCGTGCGACGTGACCAGCGAGGTGGTGGCAAAGGGCACGTTCTCGCCAAAGTTGATGTTGGAGGTGAGCCCCGTGTTGAGCCACTGGGAGCGGGAGGAGTGGCAGATGCCGCCGGCGCGGTTTGCGTCTGGGCTGCCCACCCACGCCAGGCCCAGCGTGCCGCCCGTGAAATCAACGCGCGTAAACAGGTGGGCAACGCAGCTGCTGGAGAAGTCAATGGTGGACGAAAAGTCCGACAGCATCTCCGTGACAGACGTCGTGCTGACAAAGTTGTCGAGGCGGATGGTCACCTCGTGCACAAACAGGCTGAGGCCAGACGGGATGTCGCCCGCAAACACGGTGGAGGAGAAGATGTCATCGGCAATGGCAAAGTGCTGCAGCATCGACTGCGTGGTGTCTGCGCGCTCGTTGTTGTGGAAGGCGTGGAAGCGGGCATCTGCCACCACAGACACAAGGCACGTGTTGTCTGTCTCCGAGGGGCGGGCGCGGCGAGCACGCACGTGCGCCTGCTGCTCCCCATACAGCTGCGGGAACTCATACTCGTTATTCCCGTGTGCATGATGATCGTGTTGGTCGTCGTGGTCATTGTGGTCGTGGTCGTGGTCGTGGTGGTCAGGTGCAGCTTGGTCACCATCACCGCCAGCACTGCCAGCGCCACTGCTGCTGTTGTTCAGGTCTGCAAAGTATTTCCTGCGCTCCTTCGCGGTCATGCGCGAGATGGTGTCCTGGTGCTTGGTGTGGTGGTGGTCGGCGCCACAGAAGCTGTGCCCGGTGGCGTTGAGCCCGCGCCGCCAGTCCCCCGTGCGCACGTCTGCTGCACGGTACACAATCATGTCGATGCTGCTGTCGTTTGGATAGTGGTGCAGGCTGCGCTCAACGAAGAAGGTGTTGTTGTGCACGTGCATGAAGCCCGCGAGCACGCCGTCGCGGATGTACAGGTTGGCGTGAGAGTTGGCCTCGTCGCTCATGTCGTGGCCAACGAGGTAGTTCTCCGCATCCACGCGGAAGGGCGTGACCTTGCCGTTTTCGTCAATGATTCTGGCGCGAATGCCGTGCGCAAACATGCGGTGGTTCTTGACGAGCCGCAGGTCGAACACCCGGCCGTGGGCGGAGAAGCGCACCTCGTGGTGCTCCGAGGTGGGCTCAGCCTTGCCAAACAGCTCCTCCTCAAAGGTGGACCGGCGACGACGCCGCTGCACATGCACGTGAGAAACGTCGCTCGCGCTCAGCACTTCATGGTAGCGCAGCGCCCCTGCGAGGTGCGGCGCAGCCTCCCGTGGAACGCGTGCCGCGCGAGGCGACAGCCGGGGCGTGTTTGCGGACGCGGCTGTGTCGTTGTTGTTGTCATTGTCGTTGAAGGTGTTGGCGTCAGCGATCGGGCCAGCATCAGGCGCTGCTGCGACTGTTGTTGTCGTGGTGGTGATGATGGCGGGAATTAGCAACACCGCTGCTGCGCAGACGAGCAATGCGCCCGTGCGGGCGCGTGTTGGGCGAGGCATCGTTCACCAAACAAGCACGGCTGCTGCTGCTGCTGCTACTGCTGCTGCTATAGACGTTGTTTGCTTACGATTTCTCTGTGTATGTGTGTGAGCGAGTCAGTGTGTGTGTGTGTGTGAGTGTGTGAGTGTGTGAGTGTGTGAGTGTGTGAGTGAGTTGGTGTGAAGCAGGGTGTAGACGGGGAGAAGGGGTTGGTGGTGGGGGTTGTGGCGCAGCGCGTGTGACACAGTTTGGGTGTTTGTTTGTTTGTTTGTAGTTGTTGAGAGGAGGAGGGGCGACGTGAGGCCGTGGATGTGTGACGTGCCAGCGGGCTTGTTCGGATCGCACGAACCACAACCACACGGAGAGCACGAGCGAGTGTCTGTGTGTGTGTAGGGGGGAGAAGAGAGCGGGAGGAACGAGGAAGAGTATCAATGCGTGGCCACAATGAATGGACGGAGAGGGAAGCAAATGTCATACCGAGATGTTTGGTCAATGTGTAGACCGCCACCAGCAGCTTCTTGTCTGGCTGGTGCCTTGGTTGTGGCGTTGTGCTTAGCAGCTTGTCAATCGTGTGGTTCGTGGGCGCTGATGGTGTGTATGCGCTGCGGTGCAGGCTGGAATTTGTCGTTGCGGAACAATGGTGGGTGTCTTTCACAAATCATCCGCAGCAGCGGCAAAAGAAGAGGAAGAAGGAAGAAGCAAAAGAAGAGGAAGAAGGCTTCTTGCTGACAGGAAGCAGCGGACGCGATGGCCACAGTGGATGCTGCTGATGAACTGGCAGCACGGGTGGCAGCAGTGGCGCTGGAGGAACGAGATGCAGGTGATGATGGTGCTGACGATAGTGGGAAGGACAGCGCTGGTCCTACGATGCAGCTGGTTGCCGATGGCGCGCATGGACGCCTAGCAGCTGTGGTTGAGAAGAAGCAGAAAGAAGAAGCAAAGGAGGGCGAGCATGATCATGAGCAAGGCAAGTCGCGTGCAAGCGGGCCACTGCTGCCAGTGCCACTGCCGCCTTCCGCAGCGCTGAGCCCAGAATACATCCGAGCTCGCATCACCGACGAGTACCTCCTGAACCTTGATGCCCTCAGTGTGCACGATCCAGCACTGGTCAGTCGATGTTGGGAGAGAATGATGGTGCAGTGTGTTGTTGTGTTGTGTGTGCGTGCGTATGTGTGTGTGTGTGTGCGTGCGTGCGTGTGTGGGATGTGTTGATGGTGTGGAGTGCGTGCCATGATCAGTGAGGCTCATGACACCAACGCACACACACATGTGTCATTGCACTCACGACTCCCGTGCAGAGCCAGCGGTTCTGGCAGCCAAGCGTACAGCCCGAGGACCTGTTCCTTCCCATGACATCCGAATCGCCGTACATGCTGCAGGTTGAGCGTGACCCCATCACCTTTGAAGCCAAGGTAACCCAAATGCCACGTGCGCGCGTGTGTGTTTGTGTTGGTGTTTGTGTTGGTGTTTGTGTTGGTGTTTGTGTTTGCGTGTGCCTGTTCACATGTGCGTGCTCGCATCCTTGTCACTGATCCCCCCTCCATCGTTGCTTGGTCTTGCATCTGCACACTGCAGGCGTTCCGCGAGTCGCACGTGTCAAGCAGCGAGACAGCCGTCTCCTCCATGTCAATGACGCGAACAGGTGAGGCGCTTGGTTCATCCTGTGTACGTGTACGCGCGCGCGCGTGTGTGCACCTGCTTGTGTGCTCTTGCCGTGTGTGTGCACCTGCTTGTGTGCTCTTGCCGTGTGTGATGTGATGCCGCTCACGTGTTGCACGATGCGATGACAGTGGCTGCGAATGCGGACAAGACGTACGGGTCAACCCTGCAGTACCCGTTTATGCCTGGCGGCATGGGCGTGGAGGTGGCGCAGCAAATGCGACTGCTTGCAAGCAAGAAAGACACACACCAGCAAGAAAGTCACAGCGCAGATGCAGACAGCAAACTGACACAACCCGACCTCTCCCTCTTTGACTTTCCCGAGAACAAGGTATTGTGTCGTGTGTGAGTGCGTGAGCGTGTGAGTGAGTGAGTGAGTGAATGAGTGAGTGAGTGAGTGAGTGAGTGAGTGAGTGAGTGCGCGCACGTGCGTAGCTCTCTGTACGTATGTGCCGCTGCCTGCCAGTGTATCACCTGTTTGCTTATCTCAGTGTGTGCTGACTCCACACGACTACCTTCACCCCATCTCCACCATCATATCAGGTGTTACCGGACCTGGGCGACGTGTCTGCACACCTCCCACCACCACCATCATCGTCGTCGTCGCTTGCGCAGCAGCTTGCTCTGGGTTCGTGCGCACGTGCATGCCAGCATAGGCGTGACTACATGTGATGTGTCCCGCCTGCATGCATGCGTGCGTGTGTGTGTGTGTGTGTGACTGATGGTACGACACAGCATTGCGCACAACGCTGATGCGCAGACATTGTCTCACACTGCCCCTCACACATGGATGCGTGTGTGTAGCTGGTCTGCTGGACGATCTTGCACTGCCTTTGACGCGCGAAGGCGAGAAGGACACCTCCTCCACGTCCACTTCCACAACAACAACAGCAGCAGCAACAGCAACAACAACAGAGCGACAAGAGGGCCAACAAGCGGAAGAATCGTCCGCTGTGACGTCATCAGCTGCTGTACCTGCGCTGTCAGAGTTGACAGCAGCCGCTGCCAGCGGTACCGGCGAGGAGAGCATGGGCAGTGGTGGCGGTGGAGGGGAAGAGGAGGAGGAGGAGGAGGGTAACGGAGAGGATGGTGCTGGTGCGAAGGAGGAGGTGGAGGAGGACTTGGAAGCGGCGCTGACGAAGACATACGCACAAGCCAACGCGCAGTCCACAGGGCAGGAGCAGGTATGCGCCTGTGCGTTGCGTGTGTTGTGTGTTGTGTGTTGTGTGTTGTGTGTTGTGTGTTGTGTGTTGTGTGTGTCGGAGGGTAGCGATGACAGGAAAACTCAATGTCACGTTTTCATGCCGTGTCCAACTCGCTGCTGCAGACGAAGAACTGGGCCATCACCATCCCCGTCAAGGCAAAGGTGAAGAAGAAGCAGGACGCGTTCGCTTGCATTAACACATGAATACGCACACATCAAGTACATGTACAGACACACACACACACACACACACACACTCACACGTCACTTACACACTCACTCACGCCACCACCACCACCACCACCACCACCTCACCTCACCTGACCAATGTGTGTGCTTGTCTGTCTTGATTGCGTCAGGTGGAGGACTTTGAGTTTCAGGTGCCGAATCCGGCCATCACATATCCGTTTGAACTCGACGACTTTCAGAAGCAGGTGTGGCCCATAATGCGACGGTGGCGGTGGCGGCGGCGGTGGTCGCGTGGCACGTGTTGCTGTGGTGGTTGTGGTCATGATGGGTAATGATATGATAGTTGTGGCTGTGGTAGTGGCGACGTTTTAGCTTTTGAGGAGACAGAGGGACCCACGCGCTGCCCCACTATGACGCTCATAACCTGCTTCATACAAAACACGCATCCATGCTTGCAGGCAATCATCTGCATGGAGCGGCACGAGTCTGTGTTTGTGGCTGCGCACACATCTGCTGGCAAGACAGTGGTGGCCGAATACGCCATTGCCATGTCGCAGAAGCACATGACACGCGTCATCTACACCTCCCCCATCAAGGCCCTCTCCAACCAAAAGGTGGCGTCGTAATCGTCGTCACTGGGGCATTGTTGTGGTTGTCGTTGCTGCTGCTGTGGATTGTTGCACGTGTGCACGTGCTTGCGTTTGTGATCCCGTTTACAGCTTGTTGAGTTGACGTCAACAAACCTCACCGATCACCTCCACCACCACCACCACCACAACAACAACAACAACAACAACAACAACATCACCACCACCACCACCACCACCACCACCACCACCACCACCACCACCACCACCACCACCATCAGTTCCGGGACTTTGCGACGCGGTTTGATGATGTTGGGCTGCTGACGGGCGATGTGCAGATACGGCCGGACGCCTCGTGTCTCATCATGACCACCGAGATCCTCAGATCAATGCTCTACCGCGTACGCTGCGGTGCCGTGTTGACAAGGGGGCAGAGGGGAGGTTTGGACGGTGTGAGGAATGGGAGCAAGGGAGGTGGCGTGTCATATGCTTGGATTGTATGTCGTACGGTGAATTCTCATGCGCTGCCGTCACACAACGCATGCAGGGTGCGGACATGATCCGAGATGTGGAGTGGGTGATCTTCGACGAGGTGCACTACATCAACAACGCCGAGCGCGGTGTTGTGTGGGAGGAGACAATCATCATGCTACCCAAGCACGTCAACGTTGTCATGCTGTCTGCCACCGTCCCAAACACGTTTGAGTTTGCAGACTGGGTTGGCCGCACACGCAAGCAGCGCGTGTACGTGATCCACACGCCGAAGCGACCGGTGCCGTTGGAGCATTTCCTGTACGTGGGCAAGGTTGGCAAAGCAGACCCCCTCTTCAAGATTGTCGACGCACACGGGAAATTCCACATGAAGGTGTGGGAGTGGGAGTGTGCACGTGTTTACCTGTGTGCGTGTGCGTTTATGCATGATGTGCAGAACTTTTGCTTTGTTGTGCATCCGTACGTGTGTTTATGCGACGGTAGCCGTCATTGTCTCATTGTTCCGTCGTGGACACTGCATCTCACACGCCAATCCCCATCCCCCGCATGCACTTGAACACATATGCGGCCGTAGAACCATTCTGCCGCGGTTGCCGGTAAGAAGGAGGGCGAAGGAAAGAAAGCCGCCAAGACAGGCAGTTACGGGCCAAAGAAGCGCGGGAACGCCAGCTGGGGCGGGTGAGTTGCACCGAACACCACCTGATTCGTGACACCCAAGCGTCCTAACACTGCTCGCTCCGTGATGCAATCGATCCTTTTCGTAGCACATCACTCTGCCACACCTTACGCCACACCTCCAATGACCTCATCTCACACCACACCACACCACACCACACCACGTCATGTCACATGGGCAGTGACCGCGTGCTGTACCGCTCGCTGGTGCAAATGCTCAAGAAGGAAAACCTCAACCCGTGCGTCGTCTTCACGTTCTCAAAGAAGAGATGCGACCAGGTTGCGAATGTGTACACACACACACATGTGTGTGTGTGTGTGTGTGTGTGTGTGGCTGCCGCTCATGTTTGAACAACTCCTTCTGACTGGCACCACCATCGCCGCTCACCATCATCACGGCGCAACAGAATGCGTACAATCTGCGGGGGACGTCCTTCAACACGGCGGAGGAAGAGGGCCGTGTCAATGCAATCTTCCACCGCTCCATATCCATTCTCAAGGGTTCAGACGCCCACCTCCCACAGGTGCACCGACAGACGTGTGATGGCTGCAGCGCTCATGTTGTTCGTGTGTACTTGTGCATCTTCTTGTGCGTGATCGTGTGTACGTTTTACGCCCTTGCTTCACCATCACCTTCCCTATCCTCACCACCACCACAATCACCATCACTATCGTCACCACCACCATCACCACCACCACCATCACGTCACTGCACTCTGCAGGTTGAGCGGATCAAGGCGATGGTGCGGCACGGTGTCGGCGTGCACCACAGCGGTCTCCTCCCCATCATGAAGGAGCTTGTCGAAATCCTCTTCTCGCAGGGGCTCATTAAGGTCCGTGCCTGTGTCCTGTTGTCGGCAATGCGTGTCGTGTGTGTGTGTGTGTGTGTGTGTGTGTGTGTGTGCGCGCGTGGTGTGTCTCTCGTGTCGTGTGGGCATTGTGCATTTGAATCCCAACTGCACTTACACCGATGTGCGTGTCCTCATCAACTCCAACCATCCACCACCACCACCACCACCATCATCATCATCATCATCTACCATCATCAGGTGCTGTTTGCGACGGAGACGTTTGCGATGGGCGTCAACATGCCGGCGAAATGCGTCGTCTTCGACTCCATCCGCAAACACGACGGCATCCAGCTCCGCGACCTCCTCCCAGGTCTAAACGACGGATACATGTGTGTGCGTGTGTGCGTATGTGCATATGTGTGTGTGTGTGTGTGTGTCTTCGCTGCTCGTTTTTCATCTGGGTGTCCTTGCACCCTACACCATCACCATGATAACACGACCACAACTACCACGAACACGACCACCTCATCACCACTACGTCATGATCACGCTACCCATGGCGACAGGCGAGTATGTGCAGATGGCTGGCCGCGCTGGGCGCCGTGGACTCGACACAACTGGCACCGTGATTGTGCTGTGCAAAGGGGACGTGCCTGATGTCAACTCACTGCACACCGTCATGCTCGGGAAACCAACCGTTCTCGCCTCCAGATTCAGGTGCTGATGGTGTTGCTGTTGTTTGTGCCATTGCCTGCTGATGGGTGCACAAGATTGCATCTTGTAGGTGCTGCGTTCTTGTTTCGCACACTGTCGCACGCTGCCTTTTGCTGCACACGCCCCCAAATACACTCACGCACACACGCACACACACACACACACACACACACACACACACACACACACACACACACCACGTGCGCTGCTGCTTTCCCATTGTGTTCCCTCGCTGCTTGCTATTACTCTCTCCCCAACAGGCTGACCTACAACATGATCCTGAACCTGCTGCGCGTGGAGGATTTGCGTGTTGAAGACATGATGCGCCAGAGTTTCTCGGAAGCGGACCTGCAGCGCGAAACGAGCAGTCAGCGCCAGGCCCTCGTGGAAGGACAGGCCCAGCTGGCTGTCCTTGGATCAGAGGAGTTTCCATCCGATTTGGAGGAGTATTACACGCTGGCTGTTGAATACCTGGACGCGTCTCACCGCATGATGGCGGCCATCCTCGCCTCCAATAACGTGAGATGTTCCAACTTGTGTGCGTGCGTGTGCTGTGTGTGTGTGTGTGTGTGTGTGTGTGTGTGTGTGTGTGTTTTGTCGCTGCGTGATCAGGTTTTGCGCTGCGTAATTTGGAATGGAGGTGCTGTTGAACACACACACACACACACACACACACGCACACACGTATGCCCACACACGTATGCCCACACACACACACACACGCACACACACACACACACACACTCAAATGCCCACGCATACACACACACTCAAATGCCCACGCAAACACACAACACACACAACACGCACACTCATTCACACAAACTCATCACTGTGCCCTTTCGTTAGGCCATGCGCATCGTCGGAGCGGAGGGGCGAGTTGTCGTTGTGAACAGCCAGATGTACCGGAACACGCTTGCCGTTGTTCTGCGCACAATGAAGAGCAGCAATGGACCAGCGGCGCCAAAGGACTTTGAAGTGCTCATCATGGTGGATGAAACGTCCAAACAGAAACCCGGACAGCGCAAGGAGAAGACAAACAAGGAGGAGAGCCTGCTTCCACTGCCCGTGACACACCTCGACGTGCCTCAAGTGCGCCTGTGTTGTTGTGTGTGTTGTGGACACACATGCGGGAGTTAGTGAGTGCGTGAGTGTTCGTGCGTGTGTGCGAGTGTCGGATTGTGCAAGGGGCGGTATGCTCGATGCACATTCTGCTGTCTCATCATGTGTGTGTGTGTGCGTGTGTTGGCACAGGGAGCGGTATCACATGCGATTGTTCGCATTGCGGGAACAGACATTGTCGCCATCACAGGAGAGAAAATTCCGGTGAGAGACCCCATAGTATGACGAGAAGCGCAATGGTGGGAGGTGTCATGTTTGCACTTGCAATGGTCGCAGTCATAATGATCGCAGTTGAGCTGGTTGGCGGTCCGTGTTTTTATTATGGTTGCATGATGTTCTGCACCTCATTGCACCCCTCATTGCACCCCTCATTGCACCTCATTGCACAACATTCACTGCGCTGGCAGGTTGACAAGAAGAAGGTCGTTCAACAGCGCAATGCAACGGAGTGCACGATGGTGGCGCAGCAGCTGCAGCAGCTCGCAGCAAAGGGGCTCGAGGTCAGGTAGCCGTCCCTGTGTACGCGCGAGTGTGTGTGTATGTGACTAATGTGTGTGCGTGTGTGTGTGTGAGTAATGTGTGTGTGAGTAATGTGTGTGTGTGTGTGTGTGTGTGCGTTGTAGAGGTGAATTGAGTTGAGGTAGCGACAACGACAACTGCTGTTTGGAGTGCCAATGATGCTGCAGCCGACGCCTCGCCATCATCGACAGCACGCGATCACCTCACATGATATTACGCCACACCACACCACCTGGGCTGTGGGAGTACAGTCGCTGTCGCAGCTGCACCCGATCAAAGATCTCGGCGTGAAGCAGCTGGAGGCCGCAGACGCGCACACGCGCATGAAGGCCCTCTACAAGCAGCTCAGGTGCCGTGTACGTGTGTGTGGATTTGTGTGATTGTGTGTGAGTGTGTGTGATCGTGTGTGATTGTGGTGCAGAGCACTTGGGTGGTACGTCCGTGTGGACTTCTGTACCATCATCACCACCACCACCACCACCACCATCATCATCATCGAAAGACACTCACAACACCGCTATGACGACGACCACTGCACCAAATCACAACAGCGGCTTTGAGTGCACGTCCCATCCGGATTTCACGTCCATGTACGGGCGACTGCACGAGCGGCGCGTACTCATGAACCAGGTGGGCGGTGCTCTGTGTGTGTGCATGGGTGAGTGAGTGTGTGCGTGCGTGTGTGTGTGTGTGCATGAGTGAGTGAGTGAGTGTGTGTGAGTGTGTGCGTGCGTGTGTGTGTGTGTGTGTGTGTGTTGCTGTGTGCCGGTCGCTGCCAACGTCCCTTGACATCGTTATCAGCCTGTTCTTCAATCGTGGCGCATCACCGCTTCACTCCTCGTCACCACCAACTATCCACTAATCCATCGATCAATGCAAACCTATCTCACCGCTCCCTTCCCATGTTGAACAGATTGACTCTCTTCAGCACCAGCTGAGCGATCGAAACCTGACGCTTCTGCCCGAATACGAGCAGCGCATTGAGGTGAATACCATCACTGTCATCGTGGTGGTAGTTGTCGCTGTGATTGCATTGTTGCGGTTGTGCTGTTCGTGTGAAGCCATTGGCCTGTCGTTCGTTGTTTGCATTGACATCGCAGTTGGTCCTCGAACGACAGCAGACAGCCCTCAATCACCAACACGACCAATGCAACACCATGTGCATACAGGTGATGCAGCGGCTGCAATTCATCAACAGCGAACGCATCGTCCAACTCAAGGTCCTCAAGCACACACAAAGAGAGAGAGAGAGAGAGAGAGAGAGAGAGAGAGAGAGAGAGAGAGAGAGAGAGAGAGAGTGTGTGTGTGTGTGTGTGTGTGTGTGAGTGTGAGTGAGAGAGTGTGTGGGAGTGTGTGAGAGAGTGTGTGTGTGTGTGAGCAACACGCACACACGCAACTGTGTGCTGCATGCTATCCTTCACTGAGGGGCACAACAAGGGCCCGTTTCATTCACTCCACCTGATGATACACGCGCCAGCATTCACATCCACTCGCACACACACACACACACACACACACACACACACACACACACACACACACACACACACACACACACACACACACACACGCACACGTGTATGCGCGCACAGGGGCGTGTTGCGTGCGAGATAACGACGTGCAATGAGCTGCTAGTGACGCAACTCATCTTCCACGACATCCTGACACCGCTGGACCCGGAGGAGGTGGTCGCGCTCCTCAGCTGTATGGTCTTCCAGAACAGGCGGTGAGGCACGGGGCGAAGCCTTTGGGGGTTGGGGGGTTGGAGTGATGGTGCTTAAGGCCGCGGTGGTGATGGTTGATGGTGCCGAAGTGTGGTGATGGGTGGTGGTGAAGGGTGTGATGGGGCTGACGACATCTATCCACCTTCGTTATATGTGTGTGCGTGCCGTGAGTCCATCTGCAGTGCTGTTGCACTCTTGGTCTTGGGTTCTCTGCCCCAGAGAGCGTGACCACCACACACCTCATCGCATGCGTGTGCACGTGTCCAGGGCAAGCGAGCCACGGCTGACACCGCGGTTGGAGGAAGGCGTTAGCACCATCACTCGCATGGCCATTGAGATTGCAGAGACGCAGGTTCGCTGTGTGTGTGTGCGTGTGTGTGCGTAATGTGTGCACGCTGCGCGGTAGAGGAGAGGCGCACACACGCGCTATCGTTGTTGCCGTCACTCATGTGTGTGTGTGCTGGGCCGTCGCTTTCATCGCGCCCTCACATGCTCAACTCACCACTACCACGCTACCACGCCACCACCACGCCACACCACCACCACCACGATGACAGCTCGCGTGCGGGATGCAGGTCTCTGTTGAGGAGTACTTGGAGGAGTTTAAGTTTGGACTGGTGGAGGTCGTCTACGAATGGGCGCGAGGCATGGCCTTCAAGCAGATCACAGGTGTGGTGCTGCGGCGTTGGTTCTTTGCTTGTTGGTGTGTGTGTGTGTGTGTGTGTGTGTGTGTGTGTGTGTGTGTGTGTGTGTGTGTGTGTGTGTGTGTGTGTGGGTGTGTGTGTGTGTGTGGGTGTGTGTGTGTGTGGGTGTGTGTGTGTGTGGGTGTGTATTGTGTCGTGTTTCGCATTGCCGGCGCCATTGAACCCCTACAACGCCCTTCACCATTGTCACCACCACCACCACCACATCAACGTACAGAGCTGACGGACGAGCCCGAAGGATCAATTGTCCGGTGCATCATTCGTTTGGAACAGGCGTGCCGGTTCGTTGCAACGCACGCGCGATTTCGTGTGTGTGTGTGTGCACATGATGTCGGTGTCATTGAGGAATGTGTGCACTGTGGGACCGTGACCGTCCTCATGCAGCACTCGTGCGCTCATTTCCCACACGTTCGCCATCACGACGCCTCCACCCATCCCTTGCCACCCCATAACCATCCCACGTCTCGTATCCAACGTGTCTGATACCCAACGCGTCTCGTGCCATGGTGTGTCAGGGAGGTTCGCAACGCGGCACGCGTCATTGGCGACCCCGTTCTGTCGCAGAAGATGGAGCAGGTGATGATGATGATGACCACGATGGTGGTGGTGGTGGTGGTGGTGGCGTTGTATCGCAGTGGTTGATCGATCAAGTCATACGAATCATAAGGAGCTGGCGTCCATATGTTTTGTATCACCATTGTTGTTCACACCACAAACGCTTTCGCGACAAGCAACTCACCTCTCCCTTTCCCGTCCCCGCGGCCACACAACCGCCACCTTCTTTTGCAGGCTGCCAACATGATCAAGCGCGACATTGTGTTTGCTGCATCTCTCTACACTGTCGACCAGTAGCTGCTGGATGTTCGTCGCACCGCTAATAATCGACACACACACATACACACACACACACACACACACCTCACACACACACATATACACACCTCACACACACACACACACACCGCACACACAGACACACACCTCACACACCGCACACACAGACACACACACACCTCACATACGTATTCATTGTTGTGGCATTTCATTTACTTCCTCATTTCCTCCTCAGCCATTGTTGACATGAAGACATAAAACCGTCAAATCACTGTGGTACAGAGCCAAGCGCACCTGCCCTAGTTCAAGGGGCTCTCAAGCCAGCGAGCCAGCGAGCAACCAAACAGCCAAACACGCACTTTCCATTCCTCGCCTGTTGTCCTATCCACCGATCAAGCACCGCACGCAAACACAAAAGCAACCGACACGAATGACGCGAACCACTCTGGTCAGCACCCCCACACAACGACACACCACACACACACACAACCACATCAGCACCATCATTAGCACAACAATCATCAGCACCACCATCATCATCACCACCACCATCGTCATCACCACCACCAGTCACCATCACGCGACGGCGCTTGTGTCGCGGTTACAGAGCGGGAGGCCGCGTGGCGATTCCTGCAGCCAGATATCGGCAGCTGTGCGGCCCCACTCGTAGATGTCGCGCGTGACCGCCTCCTCCGCCGGGTAGAAGCACAGGCTCCACGTTTGGTTGTCCGTGTAGGGAAAGTCGGGCGTCAGGCGCGGGCTGATGTCAATGTGCGCGCTTTGGGAGCGGAGGAAGAACGACGAGAACGGCGAGACCTTGACAGCACCGGCAATGTGCGGCACGAGATGCAACACGCCGCCGTCAATCACGTACATGTCGCGGAAGCGGGTGACGAGCGCAGAGTCGAGGTACCCCGGGACCATGCACGACGCCACCAGCGCGGATATGAGGTCGTCGCGCGTCGGGAAGTGGCGCACGAGGATGGGCCGCCAGCGCGGGCGCGGCCAGATGCGGGTGAGGGCGACGGACACGCGACCGGAACAGAGCTCGTGCGCGTCGTCGGGCAGAGTGCGGTCCAGCATCTCTGTCAGGTAGCGCTTGAGCTTCCACCACGTGCCGTTCTCGTTGCAGAACTGCGCGTGCTCGAGAAACAGGTCGAGGGTGGTGACGGGGTCCAGGCCGCATCCGAGCAAAGCGGCAATCAGCGCACCGCCAGACGCACCCGCCAGCCGTGTGTGGTCCTGCACACGGCCTGCTTCAACAAAGGCGTGTGCGACGCCAATATGATAGGCCAGCATCCACCCGCAACCGCTGAAGCTGATGATGTCGCGTGGTGGCGGCTGCGAAGAGGATGGCGACAACTCTACGCGCTGCTGCTGCGGTTTGTACAGCAGGTCCTCAACAGGCGAGCCCTTGTCGTCGTTGCCATTCTTGCCGGTGTTGCATTCTGACACATCGATGTTGTGGTTGTTGTTATGGTTGTTGTTATGGTTGTTGTTGTTGTTGTTGTTGTTGTTGTTGCTGTTGTTGTTGTTGTTGTGGTTGTTGTCGTCGTCGTTATGGATAGCTGGCAGCGGGGCGGCTTCGCTCTGCTCCGTGGGTGCTTGACGTTGCACGTGACGACGGCTGTCTGAGCACAGCGATCCTGCCAGCGCCGATCTTGCGGCGGCGATGGGGCGTCCCTTGCCGACCAGCCATGCTCCACCGCCACTCAGCAAGGTCCGGGCCGAGAGCATCAGCGTGGGCCACGCCATGCATTCATTCCCGCGAAGACGTCGTGTGTTGTCACACACACAAACACATAAAATACAAACAAAAGCAGGTCAGGGTTGCTTCCTTGCTGCTCCTTCTTGTCGTCAGCCTGCTGCGTTCTTCAGCTTGCCTCACTCACTTGCGTTTGCTGGTAGGGTTGAGGTTGTAAATGGTTGGTTGTCTGTCTGTCTGCCTCTTTGGGTCCCTGGTTTGCCTTGCCCTTGCCCTTGTTGCGTGTCTGTACAACGCCGATGTTTTGGAGCGACGTGGGTTGCAGGGTGTTGTTGGCGTTGTCCGTTGCTGTATGGTGTGGCGAGGCCTGCCACCGAAAAATAACTGGTATCATACACAAATCTTCTACAACCGCTTTGTGTACGACGACAGAAGCACAACAGCTGACAAGATGGTGGGCAGTGTGTGGAGAGTGTGTGTGTGCAGTGTGTGTGTGTGTGTGTGTGTGTGTGTGTGTGTGTGTGTGTGTGTGTGTGTGTGTGAGTGGGTGTGCAGTGGGTGTGAAGGGATGATTCACTGTTTCTTCGTCAATATCTTTCTCGTTCACCATGCATGCAACCTCTTGTGTGCCGTTAGGTGGAGCCACTTCAAACCCTCGACACCATGCACACCGACATGGTGGTACGTGCGTACGTGTACGTGGTTGTGTGCGTGGTTGTGTGTGTGTGTGCGTGGTTGTGTGTGTGTGTGTGTGCGTGTTTGTACGAATGCATGGTGGATTTGCCATGCTCAGACTCACAGCGCATGTTTGCAACATACACACATACACACACACACAAACACACATACGCACACACATACGCAGCATGATGCCCAGTTGGACTTTTACGGCGACCGACTGGCTACGTGCTCCACTGACAAGACCATCAAGATCTTCCGAGTCAAGGAAGGGCGGCATGAGCTTGAACAGACCGTGCAAGGGTGAGAGCACGACTGAAACACCTTGGTTATGTTTGGTTTCACCGTGAGGTCTTCCTTGTCGTGCGCCACGCTTGACTCTTGTTTGAGCGCTCCACCAGCTTGCCTCTGTTCCCTCTCTTTCCCCGTTTAAATATTCACCCTCGTCTTCTTATCTTCGTGTCACATACAGGCACAGTGGACCTGTGTGGCAGGTGGCGTGGGCCAACCCGAAACACGGCAACTACCTCGCGTCATGCTCAGCAGACAAGACGGTGTGTGTGATTGTGTGTGATTGTGTGTGTGTGTGTGTATGTGTGTGTGTGTGTGCGTGTGAGGAATGGTATGTTGTGTATTTTCGTGGCAGCTGATGTGTGTTCATGCTTGTACAATCGCTCATGAACACACACTCACACGCGCACACATGCTCACACCAGGTGATTATTTGGGAGGAGGTTGAGTCTGGCTGGATTGCCGCACATCGTCACACAGACCCAAAGGCCGGATCAAGTCAGTTATGGTCGTGTTGAGATGGGAATGGACAGCGCTTGTGTTCATTCAACCTGACAACTCATGTGCCCCGCGTGCTGCTCTCCAAGCTTGCTCCCACACCTTCCTTCCTTCACCCCCCTCCCTTTCTTACCCCACCCCCTATCTCCACGTGCGTGTGCTGCGCATGCTAGTGAACACGATTGCGTGGTCGCCGCATGAGGATGCGCTCCAGCTTGCCATCGGCACCTCCGAGGGCCAGATCTCGCTGCTGACGCTGACAGACGGGCAGTGGCACTTTTCCGAGGTTGCGCACCACGACGACCCGGCCTTCCTCAACGGCGTCCTCGGCATCAGCTGGGCCCCGCCCTCCGTCGCCTTTGTGAGCGCTGCGGCCTTGTGGGAAGAAGGGGGGAGGAGGGTGGAGGAGGGTGGTGTGGGTAGTGTTTGATTTGTTTGGTGTTGTTGTTGCGTGTGACACGTGTGTGTGTGTGCGCGCGCGCGCGCGCGTGTGTGTGTGTGTGTGTGTGTGCATGTGTGCGTGTGTGCATGGAGGGTGCAGGAGATGGGGTGTTGTTCTGGTGTGGCTGCTCACGAGTCCCTATAACTGTGTACCACACACACGCACCGCACCTCTCACGTCACCCCACCCTCACGTCACCTCTCACTCACATCACAGACACATGCGGACGTGCACGGGGAGTACCGGCTGGTTGCGTGCGGGTGCGACACGGAGGTGAAGATCTACAAGGGCACGCGGGAGCAGGGACACGAGACCGTCTGGGACGAGGAAGAGCGCCTCCCCGTCGTCCACCAATGTGTGTGATTGGTGTGTGTGTGTGTGTGTGTGTGTGATTGGTGTGTGTGTGTGTGTGTGTGTGTGTGTGTGTGTGTGTGTGTGATTGGTGTGTGTGATTGGTGTGTGTGTGTGTGTGTGTGTGTGTGTGTACGAGACCATGTCTTGGCATCAAAGATTTGTGCTTCGCTCACGTATGAGTCGTTCCATTCTCTACTCCCCTCCAACATCATCCCTCCACCACCAGCGTGGGTGCGTGATGTGTCGTGGGCACCACAGATTGGCCTCGCTGCGGCCACGATTGCGTCATGTGGGCAGGACAACGCCGTCTTTGTCTATTCGAAGGACCACGCGTCTGGCGAATGGGTTGGTGATTTGTGCGTGTGTGTGTCTGATTGTATGTATGTGTATGTGTGTATGATTGTGTGTCGTGTGTGTATGCTTGCTTGCATGCGTGCCTCTGCATCTGTATCTTGTGTCTGTGTCTCCCAAACAGAACCCAACCTTCCTCACACCTCCCCACCTTCACCCTCCCCACTCCATCCAACCCCCGCCCCACCAGCATGCGCAGCAGCTCGGCGACACGGCGGATCTGCCCGTGTGGCGCGTGAGCTGGTCGCTCGCCGGCAACGTCCTCGCCGTGGCGTGCGGCGACAGTACGGTGCGCTCGAGGGGAGAAGAAGGGACGGGCTGGGGAGAGAAGTGGAGGTGGATGGGAGAAGGACAGGGGGGAGGGCGAAAGAGAAGGAGGGGGTTGAAATGAGGGAGGAATGATAGAGTTGAAGCGAGAACGGGGGGGGGAGAAGGAAGATGCTCAGGGCACCTGTTTCAATGGTGCGCATGCAGCCATTACCTCTAATGCCATATCACAACAACAACAACAACAACAACAACAACAACAACAACAACAACAACAACAACAACAACAACAACAACAACAACAACAACAACATGATGCACAGGGGGTGACCAAGTTGTACAAGCAGAACCTGAACGGGCGGTGGAACTGCATCAAGACGATCAAGGATCCCTCGCCACCGCCAAACTCCACGACACACACGACAGACCAGCCCAACACCATGCCTGTCTAACATTGCCCTGCCCTGTTGTTGTTGTTGTTGTTGTTTCCTTTCTGTTGTCCTCCCACATTGCGTAAAAGCAGCCGCTGTGAGAGTGTGTATGTAAGGTCGAAAGTGAACGGTGAGAGTGAAATGGTGGGAGATGATGTGTGGCAGCGTACACACACACACACACACACACACACACACACACACACACACACACACACACACACACACACACACACACACACACACACACACACACACACACACACACACACACACACACACACACACACACACACACAC